AGGTTAAAGTGAATATATATACGGTAATAGCTTCTGTGGAAAAAAGGGGCATTACTGAGCAAATGAAGACTGTGGGTCAAAGGAATCTTAAGTTATTGGGCGGACAAGAAAAAACCGACGGACGCCCGACGGCCGGACGGCCGGACGGACAAGCTGATTCCAGTATACCCCCCTTACAACTTTGTTGTGCGGGGGTATAAAAATGAAAAAACAGGTTAATGAAAGAACTAATGAAATCGAGCTGTATATTAAATGGACTTGCCTATCTTTCAATCTTATTTTAGGGAAAATTTCAAAATAATTATACTGACTGAATTGTGAACAGTGATAAGACAATTTTTGTTGATATCACTATAAAATCTATTAACTTCATTTCTTCCCCTCTGCTTTTATCATGGCTTGGGACATGCTAGTTATTAAAAATAGGCAGCATTGGAAGAAGTGTAGTCATAGTATACGTCGAACCGTTATAAACGCACGACTGAATGGATGTTTGATTATTATTTTTTTATTATTATTTTTAAAGCGCGCTACACTTCTCCAACCATTCAGTTAATGAATCTTGTGATGTGGTTGGTATGTGATTTATTATTATTATTATTTTTATTATTATTATTTTTATTACTTTTATAAAAAAAATCATTATTACTTTTATAATTTAATTTTTTTATTATTACTTTTATGAATGCAAGATGTACAAGTTAGAAAGCATGATGTAACGTAAGAAAGCAAGATGTAATTTTGGCGTTAATATTCTTTCATATTTCGGCCCTTTCCGTCTGTTTTCGGATAAGGACCTCGGACACGTATGAATACATAGGACGGCTACGGCATTTCGGTCTAACCTACGCTAAGAAACTAAACATGTAAACAAATAGTAATATACATTCATTAAGTTCTTTTACTTTAAGTTTTAAGTTCTGTTTAACCGTGCCTTCTCCTACACATTACAATGCATCCTCTTACAAATTATTTTATGCTGCATTAATCAGTTAATCTTTTTGTACGACTTAAAATTACGTTCTCGATACTCAGAAACATTTACAAAATTGTCGCCCTTGCACATATTTTGAGGATAGCTAGCGCCAAGTTAGCGTAAAAAAAGACGTTAGCTCTACGCTATACATTACCCACAAAGACAGCTGCTTTTTAACAGCGGAATATTTGATTCAGATTTCAGCTATTTAAAAACGAAGACGGAAATGTTGTCTTTAAATTGTAGAAAAGGTATATACGAAATATTTGTTTCAAAAAAAAAGAAACAAAGATGTTTGAGAGTATTATAGTGGACATGTAGCTCTATTTAATGCAACAGGCTTACCGAAATCGATTTTCAAATTAATGTTTTACTCCGTTTATGTATCTTAATTAATTTCAACGAATCAAGTAATATCTTTCTGCAAAGTAATTTTCTAAAAATGAAAATCAATTTTCTTCTAATCTCAGAATTGCTATACCAGTCAGAGATTGTCAGGACAACAGTGAAATCTTTTGTCATTTCAAACACAGTGATGGCGTTGGAGACGGTCATGACAAAGATGTTAATAAATCAGATGTTGATGCTGATCAAGGAACGGAAGTTGATGCTTCGTATCACGGCATTGTAACCTACTAGTATGCCAGCGTTCTAGAATCAAAGCACAGAAGGCGCTGAATTTGTTTGGGTCTCAGCTAGAATATCAGAAAGGTGAAGGTTGTGAGATTCTAAACCAATTTGTTTTTGTATAGTGCCGCCAATGCTTTCCAGCGTTTTAATTGTAGTAAATTAGCTATAAGACTAATTGCAACACTGATATTCAATCCAATGTTTATTTGACTTAAACAATTTGAAAAAAATGAGTTACCTTAACTGGGATTTGAACTCCAGATCTCTCGCTGCCTAAGCGAGCGCGCAAACCCCTCGGCCACGGTAAATTTTTATGGTTAACGGCCTGAAGAAAACCATATTATTCTAAATTAGGGTTTGGAACGACGCTAACTGTTGTTTAACACTTGTGTAAATAATCATGGCGCTTACAATAAGCATGTATATCTATAAAGAATAAAACAATATTAGAAATCTTCGACCATTCGGGAATTATTTTGCTTGAAAATTAATGCGCATGTCATTTGACCATCTTTAGGCAGTGATCTCCCCTGAATATTTTCGGCGTTAGTGTACATATAAAGGGAAGTAACCGCTTCAAAAAAGTGGCCTACTTTCGGCATTTGCAATTGACTGTCAAATGACAGGCGCATTAATTTTCAAGCAAAATAATTCCCGAATGGTCGAAGATTTCTAATATTGTTTTATCCCTTATAGATATACATGCTTATAATAAACTCCATGATTATGAACATCTGTGTTAAACAACAGTTAGCATCAAAATAATAAAGGTTACAAACCCTAATTTAGAATGATATGGTTTTTTTTCAGGCCTTTTATATATAACTTCACCGTGGCCGAGGGGTCTGGAGTTCAAATCCAGGAAGGCAACCCTTTTTTTCAAATTGTTTAAGTCAAATAAACATTGAATTGAATATCAGTGTTGCAATTAGTCTTAAAGCCAATTAACTTCAATTAAAACGCTGGAAAGCACTGGTGGCACTATACAAAAACAAATTGGTTTTTAATCTCACAACCTTCACCTTTCTGACATTCTGAGACCCAAACAAATTCAGCGCATTCTGTGCTTTGATTTTATGATTATTATGTGTGTGTGCTAAATATGCTAAAATTGGAGAAAATGCATGTAGTATTAAAATATAAACTGATCAAGACCAATAAATAACATAAACATTGGTTGGCGCAGAAAATGACCAACTTCAATGGCCAATTAATCTCGTGCAAAAGATTGTGGGTCCAATCGTGAAAAAAATTCTATTTTGGGAGCTTCTCATCTCTTTGTATATAAGTCTCTGATTATATCCAAAGATAATTAAGATAGAGCATATCATGATATCTGCAATTTACTTTTGATGCTACTTTTATCTACAACCAGTATTGTCGTAATAAATTAATTGATTAAATTATCTATTCATTCATTTACATCAATATTTAAATGGACATATAAACAAACAAATGAATGAATTAGTTCATTCATTAGTTAATTCATTCAGTAATCAGTTAATGGAAACTATTCCTAATTTTTAAGGAAAATTTTTAAATAAGTACCAACTGAAGACCAAACAAATTTTAAATGGACAAAACTGTTTTAATCTGGTCAAAACCATTGATTTTTTTTTTTTGGAAAATTTCAAAATTAGTACTGACTTAATAGTAAACAGTGCAGACCATGAACAGTTGTTACAGATGTGTCAGGTGGATCTTGGTCTTCACTGGTCACATGGGTAAATTCAGTCACCTTCATCAGGATAAGGATTAATTCATTCAATAATTGTGATATGTTTCTAGCTACATGTACATTGTTTTTAGTAGTTTTTAAACAACCTCTTTTAACCTCTTGCAGATTACTTTTAACTCATAAATGAAGTATAACATACAAAGATATACATGTAATTGGTTTTGGTCTCATTAAATCTCTTCCTTCTACATGTATAATTTTATGGACTATATTTCAAATATACACAAAACAAACTCCTTGCACACAGTATCAAATTAAGTTATTGGAAAATACAGGACTTAAGTTTCATCAGGATCCATTTTGAAAATTTATTTGTCCCTTTAAAAGAAATGAGAAAAATCTCTTCATGTTTTTTCTTAAATTCTCTAACTACAAGTTAAATGGACTAATATAATCAACTGATGACTTCACAAAGCAAGATGCTTCACAAATCACTGATAATTTTTTTTTGTATCTTTATTTTGTGACATTGATCTAGTAGTAATTGTACATGTATTTGTTTAATTTTTAATTGTTTTTTTTCCACATTGTAGGAACCGTTTACATTGTTAGTAACTCTACCACTTGTGTATATAATTATAAGTTATGTTGTCCTGGAGTTTAGAGCAATCTGTTCCATAATTGAGCTAAAGAATGTATACTCACAAATATCATAACAATTAGGCTCAAGGATAAACCATGGTATGATACAGTAATAACAAGAGGGCCATGATAGCTCTGAAATCGCTCGTGTGTATATAGGCCCCTGGGCCAAGGCCAATTTTTAACCAGGGGCTTTTATTTGAACAAACTTGGTAGACACTCATAAGAAGATGTTTCATGATAAATATCTATGCTCTGGCTCTTTGGCGTTGTTATAAGAAGATTTTTTAAGTTTTTACTATACACATATAAGGAAAATCAATGACCCCCGGGGCAGGCCAATTTTAACCCATTGAGGGCCCTTATTTGAACAAACTTGGTAGACACCCATTAGAAGATGTTTCATGCTTAATATCTTAGCTCTATCTCTTTGGGGTTTTTAAAAGAGGATTTTTTAAGTTTTTACTATATACAAAAAAGGAAAACCAATGACCCCCTGGGGCCAGGCCAATTTTTATCCCAGGGCTTTTATTTGAACAAACTCCGTAGACACCCACTAAAGGATGTTTCATGCTAAATATCTAAGCTCTAGCTATTTTGGTTTTTTTGAAAGAGGATTTTTTTAAAGTTTTTACTATATACAAATAAGGAAAATCAATGACTCCCCCCCCCCCCCCCCCCCCAATTTTGACCAAGGGCATTTATATGAACAAACTTGGTAGACACCCACTAAAGGATGTTTCATGCTAAATATCCAAGCTCTAGCTCTTTTGGTTTTTAATGAAGATATTTTAAGTTTTTTCTTTAGGTTGCCATGGCATCCAGAGTTCTGTTTGGAATTAAATTTTTGGAATTTAAACAATTTTTAAAGTTGACTTCCAAAGGAACATTCCTGTGAAGTTTGGATGAAATTGGCTTTGTGGTTCATGAGGAGATGTTGTTTAAAGTAAAAGTTTATGGACGGACGCCGGATGAAAAGCGATTACAAAAGCTCACTATGTCACTTTGTGACAGGTGAGCTAAAAAATATGACTCGTACACAGGATCAACAGAAACACAAAAAAATAGCTCAAATAAAGAATCTGACTGGTTTATATACATGTACAAACATTACAGAAAAAAGTGAGCAATGTGATTAAACATGCATTTCATATCTGGCGTAATTGTAATAATCCTAGGAATGTTTAATATGAAAAGAAATTTCTACAAAAAAAAAACAAAAAAAAACTGTATGTACCAAAACATAATTTATTTACACATCTTTCAATCACATTATATATAAACTATATATACATTTCTATATGAATCAAAACTTATTTAGACAGTTTATCTAATCCCATGATACTTGGGCATACTGGGGGGTAACTGTCACAAGTTGACACTTCTTTAATAGTACATGTAATAAATAATACAAGCAAAGTTCATAAAATAATAACATGCACTGGTACATGTACATTTTTATCACAGGATAAATGCAGTCCTAGCAAAGACTATATCAACACATGTTACAAATGATTAATGAAAAATATTAAACATTATTTAATTTTATCCATGAAATATGGTGCTATATCAGTCAAATATATTTCATATTTTTTTAAAAATAAATATGAAATATAAATATGAAAGTGGGCGGAGTCAAAACTCATATTTATTTGAAGGGACTTCTTTCGCCGTTTTGTTTGAAAAATCTGATAAATACAAAACAACTTTTTCTTGAATATTGTTTTGAAAACTTTCTAGCATGATAGAAAATGGTCTAACTAAGAAAATTAATCCGAACACCAATATTTTTAATTCAGTAATTAACGCTGTACAGACGCTTAAAGAGTTGTTTACATGACGTCACAATGTAGCGCCAAACAGCGCGTGCTTACGCATAAATTACTGCGCGCTGTACAATTGCAGTTGGTAGCAAGCAAGGGGATTCGTTAACATTTTCTTTGATAATGAAATTAAATAAAAAGGTTATTTTTTCGTTTTTTGTGAAATATGGTATATATTTTCACTCAACATGAAAAAATGCCACATATTTTCACTCGTCGTACCGGCTCGTGAAAATATGTGGCATTTTATCATGTTTCGTGAAAATATATTCCATATTTCACGCAAACGAAAAAATATCCTCTTAGTATTTTACACTTCCACGCATAACTTAGATGATTTATCATAATCAGCCATCATGGTTTTATCTAAAAATATTTTACTTTATCACTGTCCAGAACAATATACTGGTCATTCAGGGAATCCATATGTTTTTTCTTTTCTATTTTACTACTTAAAGTCCTATAGATTATGTAAATTAATTTCATCACATCCATGAATATGTATGTCTTTTCCTATTATGTAATGCTATAGTTATGCAACTTTTCCATTTAAAGCTACCATTTACAAAATAAAAATATCATGATGCTGACTTGGTCTTAACTTTAGGTTTAAGTTCAAATGTTACATTTACTCTACAAGAAACAGTCACTGTAGCTTGTGAGATTCTTTGCTGCACTGTTGGGTGTGTCTCTACCTCTGCCACACCCTCAATCTGACCCTCCCACTCCTTAGACTCCTCCTCCTGTATGCAGATAGGTTTGCCTACAGCTTGATGTACAAATTTTGCCATTTCTTGAGCTTTCTGTTTAGCATTATGTACAGCCAAGAGACTTGCTTGTTGTCTGTAATGATACAAATTATCATTATAAATATTCAACATTTTGTTAAGTATGAAATACAAAAAAAATATATTGATTAATTTTGAAAAAGGATTTTTTGCACCTGATGTGTCAAGTTCATAAAAGATAATGACAACCAATAAGATCAAATTAAAACCTTGTGGTTAGAGTTAATTTTTATAGGAAAAACAAAATTCTTGTTTTCGGCATTATTTTCTAAGTCTGTTGACAATTAACTCTCTTCTAGTTCTACAGAGTGACTGTAATTAATAATCTAACATCAGGAAATCTTTTTTAAAAATTAACTCTCTTCTAGTTCTACAGAGTGACTTAAATTTGAGTTTTTTTTAGTTTTTAAGACTAGTCTCTTTTATAGTAACACACATACTTTGCAAATAATTTTGAGATAGAAAATATTATTACAAGATGCTTAATCAATTATTATCTGAGCAAACACAGTGTATGTAGAGGAGGTAATATAAAATATATAATTTAACTTATGAATCCTTCATGGTTTTACTAAGATATCCAAATATTCATACAATGGCACTGCACATGGCTTATTACTCATCCTTAAACAATAATACATTAACATACACAATCTTTACCTAAGGGTTTCTAATGTTGTCCCAGCATGATAAAATTCTGGCATCCCTACACTGACAGTTTCATCTAATTTTTCAACCAGAAGGTTACAAGCTGTCTGGCACTTATGAAAATCAAGGAACACCACTATAACTTCTGTTGTCATATCATACATGCTCTCCAACCTTCGCATTGACTTGTGAACTTGAATATCAGTCTCCTACAAAGTAATAAAATTTCAAAAGAAACTGTTTAGTAATATGGTAAAAGTTTGTTACAGATAACTATATAATAGCAACAAATAACTTTACTGTTGATAAAATTTATTAAAATATTTCATAAAATATACTTCTAGCTTCATACCCTTTATATATATTGATATTATTAAAACATTCCTGCCATTATTAATTTAAAGAGTAAATAGAGACTTTCAACAATTTATAGCGATGACATTTCGTATGGTATGATTTCCAAATTCCTACAAATGTATCATATTTTAAATAAGAACCATCTACATTAAATTTTCTATGATTTAGTGCACAGCAGTAGCATCAGAAATCACACCACATTTAAAGAGAAGCACTAGTGGTTCTAAAGGTATACGTTAAACAGACGTGTAAAATAAATTATTTTATGTTATCACCTGCCAAACTGACTAATTTTAAAATCAAGTTTTCATTATAAATAGTAAAATCTTCTAATCTTTTGTGTCAATTACTGCTTTATGTTGTTTACTTTAAAAAATGCACGATAGCTTGCATATGCAGTCTATATTCATTATTGGCTAGCTGCACATTTACGTGACTCATGTACGGCTACAACTTTTGGCTTGAATTAGATGCTGTGATGTAAGGTTAGTCGAACTAATTGTACCTCCCAAGGAGATATTGTGCTATTTTGATAATGGGCAATATCTCCCCTCTACAAGAAGAACCCAGAACAAACATATCTCAGAATCTAGCTTTGGCATGTCAACATATTTTGACTAATACAACTAACTTAAGGTTAGCCAGGTACGTATATTAGCTAATAGAAAGTGCTCAAATTATGTTGTGTAATATTGCATGGGTACTTGATGAAAATATTTAAGTCTTATCTTCTTCAGGCCATTTAACTTTACAAATAAACAATTATACCTTGACACCATGATTCTGAAATGTTTGGAGGATATAATCAAGACGTCTCTGTATACTGTTTTTCACATCCTGAACATTGTCCTTTGTACTATGAACTTTCACTGTTACTCTGCATCTATCAGGTGGTAGAGACACTTCACCAACCGCTGTTACTTTAATAAGTCTGTCTGTTCTATCCATTGGTATTGTTTTGTTTGAATAATTTTCTGTTGGATTTTGCAAATTAGAAAACATGTTATCTCTTTGAGGCGGAAGAATTCCTTGCGTGTTAGACTGTTGATTATTACTTCTTGTTGTTATTGATGCGAATACATGAGACGGGACATAGTTCGTCATTATTTACGGCCCCAAAAATTAAAAATTGAAGGGATTCCCACCTTTCCAATTTATTTGTTGATACTTGTTACCACAAGTCACATAGACGCTTGTCAGACTCAAGCGTTTACCGAGTTTTTAGTGATTTCACACCACTAAAAGTATGGATTCAACACCCTGACATTCACAATTTGTTTGCATTCCTAATTTTGATAGAAAAAAAAATTTTGATAAAAAAAAGAGATTTTGGTACCCTATCAAAACGCAATCGGGTCAACTCGTCCCCTGGTCAACTCGTCCTCTGGTCAACTCGTCACCTTTTTGGTCAACTCGTCCCCTACTTCTGGTCAACTCGTCCTCAAAGAGTCAACTCGTCCCTAATATGGTCAACTCGTCCCCTACTTTCGATCTGTTCGTCACTATTATGTTGTAAATCAATGTCTTTAAATAGTTATTTTATGTCTCACTCCATCCTATCTATCGTCTATTGTACCAGATCTTGTTGGCCTGAATACTACATATAACTTACGTAATTCTCAAAATATCGATACAATTCGTACAAGAACAACTCTATACTATAACTCCTTTCTACCAACGGCACTTCGTGAATGGAATTCCTTACCGATTGAAACCCGTCAGCTACAGTCATTGAATTCTTTCAAAAGCTCTTTGAACGAAGACAAAACTAAAACTCCCCGACACTTCTATTATGGAGATAGACGGTCACAAATTCTTCATACCAGACTTAGAACGAAATGCAGCTCTCTTAATCACCACTTGTTCTTAAAAAATATAGTTTCATCTCCTTTATGTAGTTGTGGCCTAATTGAAGACAACCACCACTTCTTCTTTACTTGCAAGAATTATACACAAATAAGAAATGCACTTTTTCAAACTTTGACTCCAATATGTTCCATTGATCACGCGATTTGTATAATTTCAAATTAAAGACACGCGTTCTTTAAATATATAAATACTTATCCAACCACAGAGGCAAATATGTCTTTAATCCTATTATCAAATTACAAATTACTGTGTTTACTTTAATAACCAAAAGCACGTGTCAAAAAATATATTTAATTAACAACAAAAAAACTCCAAATATTCGCATACAAAAAGCGTCAAAATATTTCCAATTCAGTAATTTTATAATATATAATTTTAACAGTCTATAATAATTTATGAAATATATGAAAAACAAATAATAATAAAATATAGGGGACGAGTTGGGGACGAGTTGACCAGGGGACGAGTTGTCCAAAGGACGAGTTGACCAAAAAGGTGACGAGTTGACCAGAGGACGAGTTGACCAGAGGACGAGTTGACTCTGAATCATCAAAACTGGCATGGGTCGCGAGCGGGTAAACAAAGATAATTTTAAGGCTTGCTCTATGTAGACAGAAGTAAATTTTCGAAGTTAAGTGACTTTATTTATAGATAAAGTATGAATAGTTTCTGATAATGTTTGAAACAAATAGGCTGATAATTATATACTTAAAACAAATTAAGCATGGAAATTGTACGGAATATGTATTGTGTACAAAAACGTTCTGTTGAAATCATGAAATAATTTTGATAAACCGTATGCAACTTAAACAAATTTGCTTATGTTTTATGCCCAAAAGTCCACATTGTGTACACCGGTCTTACTATATTTGAGACCGGTGTGTATACAATGCAAAAGTCCATGGTGTAAGTTCCAAATAAGGTGATATACAATTAGTTAAATAAACTCCGACCAGCCAATCAACAACTTGACACTGATTAGATCAAATTCTACACAGGCATTGTCACATAAAATTAAGGAAGGGAAGACATTAATTTTAGAGTACTTCTAATTAGCAATGAAATTTAAAAAAAAAACATTCGAAATACCTTTCTTGTGAATTATAAAATGCAATTTTAAAGTTTGTCTAGAGTTTAAGATTTTTCTCTTTATTTTGGGGTTAAATATTATTTTATGTTATATATATATGTTCTCAAACAGTTTTTTAAAAAAAGAGTAATATGGGGATTGCATGTTGTAATATTCTTATTTTATCCTGTTTTTACACAATTCTTGGTGCATATCTATTTTGATGATAATAAGTGTTTATTAACCACCACAAAATAATCTTTTATCTCTCACAAATGACAATGAAGGTGTTGATAGGAAAAGGTGTTGAATTGTATAAAGTTCTACTTTTCAAACATACATTTAACATAATTTGCAATATCAATCACATTCATTTAAATAATCATCATTTAGAAATATCATTAGATGTTGTAAAACTAAAAAGTAACTTAATAGAAATTGGGGAGAACTGTCTGGATATTTCAAATTTGGGAGAAAACTGTCAGGAGAAAAAACGGTTTATGGGAGAACCGCCTGGGGCAGGAAATTGTAAGGGAGAGAATAATATGTCATTTTTATTATTATGGTCAGACAAGGACTTGACAGTTTAAGTTCCAGGGTCAGATTACAATATTGAAATGTCTATACCCATAATTCTGCCAAAACATCGACAATGACAAAGCTTCTGTGAAAGTTTTGTCTAAATCCCTTGAGAAATGACGGAAAGTTGCGCAAGTTGCGCACAAAAATGCATTTCTCTGGTTTTTGTTGTTTTTTTTTCTGTGAAAGTTTGGTCAAAAGTTTTTGGAAATGTAGGAGGAGTTGTGTACAAAAGAAATTGTTTTGCTCGACCGTCCATCTGTCGTCTAGCCTCCCCCGCCAACATTCCTAAAACAAAATTAGAAAATATCCGGACTTTTGACTCGTTCTTGAAAACCATTCAACATTTAAAAAAATCTTTCTACTCTTTTTCAAAATATTCTCCACCTACGTCTACGCACTTTTGCCATCTTCGTGGAAGCTTTTGTATTCCCGCTGTGAACCATGACGTAGACCTATGTTTTAGGTACTGTGTAACAGCAGATATCAAAGCCGCCCTGGTCTTATATTTCTTTCCAGCAAGTAATTGTTTCAGTTCTGGAAACAATTAAAGGTCACAGGGGGCGAGGTCTGGGCTATATGGAGGGTGAGACAACAATTGCCATTTGTAAGAGTTGATAACCTCCACTGTAGCTGCGGCGGTATGGGAGGGGCGTTAACGTGAAGAAGGAGGACATTTTCTGTGCTAACCTGGGACGCATTTGCTTCAGCTTTTCTCTGAGATTTTTCAGAATTACTTCAGAATAGTACTTGGCGGTGACAGTTTGACCTTTTGGCATGAAATGAGTAAGTATCATTCCTCGTGAATCCCAAAAGGCAACAAGCATGACTTTGCCAGTCGAAGGAGACAGCTTAAACTTTTTAGGAGGTGGGGAACCAGCTCGTTTCCACTGCTTTGACTGAGCTTTTGTCTCAGGTTCGGAATAATGAACACACATCTCATCTCCAGTGATAATGCGGTTCAAAAACTTATCTCCTTCATAAATGTTCTTTTGCATTGGTTACTCTGGTTGCCTTTTGATCTGCGGACAGCTGTCTAGGCACCCACCTGACACTTACCTTGCTCATGCCTAGGTGTTCGTGTAAAATCTTGTGTGCCAATGCCTTACCGATGCTAAACTAAACATTTTCGTGTAAAATGTTGAATACTGCTTAAGCCGGTGCTAGGGGGCGTGGACGGTAACTTGCACTTTACAGTACCGTCCATGAACAGGCTCAATCAAACCGAGCCTGCAACATTTTCAATTTTGTTGTGTTGGACTTTCTTTAGGGATTCTGCTTTTCTCTATTTTATTGTTGGCTACCTCATCCAAAGTTTACTGACAAAAGCTTTAACATTTGCTACCATTGTTGGGGTCACTGCCTCAGCTGGCCGCCCAGTCCTAGGCCTGTCACAAACACTTGTTCTGTCTTCACGAAACTGAGAAACCCATTTGTAGAAGGTTGAACGTGATACACATTTATCAGAAAATCTTTTTTTAAGCCTCTGAAAGATTTGGCAGGGCTTCTCACCTTCTGCAACCAGAAACTTTATTACAGAGCGTTGTTCCTCTAACAAAGAGTCCATGATAGACGAAACACCTATCATATATCAGAGGGCAAAATACTGTGTATACACAACTATCATTGAAAATAAACTGACCACGTAATTGGCGAATGAATATAGTTTTCACCAATATATAATGTGTGTATATAGCTGCACGTGTAAAGAGAGGAGCATGAAAAGTCCGGATATGTTCTGACCGTCCCTCGTATAAACCTGGTTAACACGAGACTATCTGACTTGTAAGTAATCTCTAGAAAATTAGCAAATCAATGGGTATGCTTTGGAGTCCGGGTAACTAATACCTGCACATTTTTTACATTTCAAACTTTTATAGTGTTGCATCCACATGCCATTTCATATTCTTTATTTCATGGTTGAGTATATATCAGATTGCTGCTACTGATATATGCTAAAATAACATGTTGGTCTTTGGGTCAGTCTTAGCGCTGATCGAATCATGACTGATCCCTTTTTGTTTTTAATTTTGATTATATTATTATGTTTAATGTACATAAAATGCATTCTAGTCTGCTGTATTATATTGCGGTAATTGCTTGTAGTCAATTATTTTATCCATATGTGCTTATATCTTGATTTATTTTACAGCTTTTAATTATCATAAATGAACAATTAGCTCTAAATCAAATTTTTACACGTGTCATTTGTTTGCATGTTATGTCTGTTATGTCGAAAAAAGCTTTTACAGTTAGTGTTATTATGTTTATTGTAACCGACCATAAAAAAAGATTATCTTATCTAACATGACATATTTTTTTGCTTGACCATCATTAATCGGAATATCTGCGTTATTCAACAAATTTCTGGTATTTAATTTATATAGATAGTAAATAACTTAGACAAGGCTAGAAAACTGGTTCGTACACTTGACAACGTTTTGAAGTGTCTCAATCGTGTTAAAATTTTGTGACTAATTAGTGCACAATGTGTCCCAAGGCGCCTAAATATATTATGGTGATACACATGTATGAATGGTACATCTATTTCAACGATAAAAATGGTTTTCAAACAATTTTTACATATATAAAAAAAAATACCGTATACCATCAAGTACTTTATTGAGACTTGATCATGGTATACGGTTTTTTTTTTCATACACTATCTGTAAAAAATGATTGAAAACCATTTTTATCGTTGTAATAGATGTCCCATTCGTGTTTAAATATTAAACTAGTTTCGATAGAGTGTCTACAGGGGCGTATCACGTTGGGGGCAGGATCTGACCCCCTTGCATCTGCCTATCGTGTATATCGTCTGCCATTCGGAACTGCCTCGGCTATTATCTATAATATTAACCTCGGAAACCATACGGATTGAAAGTAGTTCTACCACGTGGTTTACAAATGTAAACAGAAACAGAGATGATGTAAAACGAATGTAAATATTTGACATCTAATGTCTGTTCCGGTACTCTTATGCTGAAAAATATGTCTGACAACAATTTGTAATTTAAATATGCCCACTGATGTTCAGTTTTAAACAAATCCGACTAAATGTCAAAAGGTTGGTTTTTTGTACTTTCGGTTTCTACAGCCATATTAGTAAATATAGAAATAATGCTTTGTTTACTTTTGTACCTATGAAATCACTTATTTTAGGTGGACTTTTACTACATATATTGGAAATAAACTTGTCAACAACTCCCAGCATTAAATTACTATTTTTTGACATGTTTAGTTTCTTAGCGTAGGTTAGACCGGAATACCGCATCCGTTCTGTGTATTCATACTATTGTGTTCGAGTTCCTTATCCGAAGACTGACGGAAAGGGCCGAGTAGTTGCGATTGTATCGTCTGCTAGTTCGGAAAAATGTCAATCGGCGCAGGAAACTATTTAGCGGTTTTTAACCGGTATGCCTAAAATACGAAAGTGAGATTTTTGACGAAAGTGAGCGAAAGTGACTTTTAACATAGTAATTTATAACATTTTAATAGATTTTTAAAACAAACTTGCAGTTTGTAGACGTATTTTTTTAGAAAATAATTATATTTATTAACAGAAATAATCATTATGATGATTTAATCGCTACTAATTTGCATAATTTCGATATACAAGTTCTTATATATCTTCCTTTCGCTCACATTGAAAAATACGAAAGTGACTTATAAAATATTAAATATTCTGTTTTAATTGAAATTTTTACTAAAATTACAATTTGTAGATATATATTATCAGAACTTGATGATACCTATTTCTTAAAATAATCATTATGATGATTTAATCGCTATTTATTTGCATTATTTTTAGATACAAGTTCAGATATCTTCCTTCGTTCAGATTGGAAAAATACGAAAGTGACTTCAAAATATCAAATATAGCGATTAATTTAAATCTATATAATTATAAAAGATTGTAGACGTAAAGTTTTGGAATTTGATAATATCTGTTTTTAAAAATAATCATTATGATGATTTAATCGCCATTTATTAGCATAATTTCTATACACAAGTTCAGAAATCTTCCTTTCGCTCACATTGAAAAATACTAAAGTGACATATAAAATATTAAATATACTGGTTAAGTTGATTTTTTACTAAAATTGCTCTAAGTAGACGTATACTATCAGAAATTGATAATATTCATTTTCAAAAATAATCATTATATATGATGATTTAATCGCTATTTATTTGAATAATTTCTATACACAACTAAATAGATCTTCCTTTCGCTCACATAGAAAAATACGAAAGTGACTTATAAAACATTCAATATACCGTTTATTTTGAATTTATATTAATATAACAGTTTGTAGACGAATAGTTTCAGAAATTACTAAAAAATACTTAAAAATTATTATGAGGTTTTAATATTCATGCATTTTCATTATTTCTATGTAGCAATTTCAGAGATCTTACTTTCGCTCACTTTCGTATTTTCAATGTTAGGGAAGAGAAGCGAAGGTGATTTTAAAAATATCAAATATAGCGTTTATAATTCATATTTTTGAATGAATGTTGTCCTCTGTAGACATGGTTTTATACATATTTAGGATTCTTTTTCTCGTGTTTATTTATTTGTATGCATACTGAGATAATCAAATAAACTTGGAAACTTTTAAATTGCACTTAATATTAATAATGCAGTTTTTAGACGTATATTATCAAAACTAGTATCTTTAATCAATATGATTTGATCTTCATTTATTAGCATAATATTTATACACAAGCTCAGACATTGATCTTCCTTTCGCTTACTGTGAGCCTGGCGAAAGTGACTTACAGAATATCAAATATAGCGTTGAAATAGAATTTCATGATAATATTGCAGTTTGTAGACGTATGTTATAAGCTATAGTAACTATCATTTTTATAAAACTTGATATGTTAAGATGAAATTTATTATGTAAACTATAATTGGCAAAAACATGAAATATACAATTTATGCGTTAGGGCTCCGATTTACAGTTCTCAATTTCTTACATCGTCTTTTTCGGGCAGTTTTTAATTTTTGATTAACGATGGTGTTATCTAACATTTAATATTCTGTTTATATATTATATTGTAATTATACTGTTTGATTCTAATCTAACAGTAATAGGTCTTGAATGTGTTTCTCATTATTATAATGTCTCTTGAAATTCTTAAATGGAATGGTCTTATGTAGGTTTTATGTGAATACTTGTATATATGTTTGAAAATGCATGTATACGAATGAGACAAAATAAAGTATGAATATGTTAACATGCAAACACGTGTTGTCATATCATTTTCGCATCCACTTTAATTGATAGTACACACGACGCTTTAATCCCACTAAAGTATTATTATAATCCAATCATAGGTATGTAACTGATGACACTTGCCCGGTTGTTTATTGAGTGGACAATTGAATTAACCTTTCTTCTGCACCACCATAGATATCTTGCACGGATTAAAGTGACAGTTATTATGCTCATCCAGGTGTAGATGAGCAATGTACCTGTTAATTTTAAAAATAATTTGGAATTTCCCATCATTGTTAAAATAATATTTCACTATGAAAAAAGGAAATAAGTAATCCATCTATAAATATCGTACTATATATATATCGGTAAAATTCAATCTTTTTATAAGTTAGGATTTTTTTTTACATTTTGTGCTAGTCATTTTCATCATCAGTTATAGGTCAATCACCATGAAAACATGAATAATAATGAAAATGACTCATTTATTTTTTTATTATAAAAAACATTAATATCGTGAATATTGACATTGACTTTCGTCCGATTAAGTCTCTTTCGTATTGTTCAATGTGGGCAAAAGTAAGATATCAGAACAGATATACAGCAATTATGAAAATACATGGATATTAAATCATCATAATGATTATTTTTTTAATATATTTTATTCATTTCTGAAAACATGCATCTTTCAGCGCTATATTTGACATTTTTGAAGTCACTTTCGTATTTTTCAATGTGAGGGAAAGGGAGATCTTTTAACTTGTGTAATGCAAATAAAGGGCGTTTAAATCATCATAATGATTATTTTTAAAAATAAATATAATTGACTTCTGATATTGTACGTCTACAAATTAATTGCAATTTTAGTAATACATTCAATTTAAACAGTATATTTGATATTTTGTAAGCCACTTTCGTATTTTTCAATGCGAGCGAAAGGAAGATCTCTGTATATAACTTGTGTATAGAGATTATGCAAAATAAATGGCGATTTAATCATCATAATGATTATCTTTGAAAGTAAATATTATCATTTTCTGATATTATACGTCCACTTTGTGCAATAATAGTAAAAATAATTTCAATTTAAACGGTATATTTTATATTTTATAAGTCACTTTCGTATTTTTCAATGTAAGCGAAAGGAAGATATAAGAATTTGTGTATATAAATTATGCAAATAAAAACCGAATAAATCATCATTATGATTATTTTTCATAATAAATATAAGTAATTTCTAATAATATACGTCTACAAACTTCAATTTTATTGTAAAAGTCTATTAAAACGTTATAATTAATATTTTAAAAGTCACTTTCGCTCACTTTCGCTCACTTTCGTCAAAAATCTCACTTTCGTATTTTAGGCAAACCCGTTTTTAACCTAGACGAAAATTAAACCGCTTACATAGCTAAAAATATGTTAATTAATTTTACAAAGCATAATAATTAATTGGAGGGAAAAGAAAAAAAGACGCATGCATTCATTCATTTATTTATACATTAGTTACGTGATTAAGAGGCTCTGAGCAGCATAATTATTGCGAGTGTTTCTTTACATGCTGTAAGCGACTTTGTCTACGAGGACAGATTGTAAAGAGGCATTTTTCGATTAGATTTCGTAAATTCAGACAAATAATGTCAAGTTACGGAGCTCGACCAGCTGGGACAGATGGTAGTGACCATTGGCACAGGGAAAGTGTGGCATGGCAGTACAAAATTAGGTAATATCCATATATGGCATTGCTTACTCCACATCTAGTGTGATTCGTACCATAACAGTTTCGTAACAAAAATATATTTGTTTTAATTTTGTCATTAGAATAAAGTTCTTAATTCATTGCATAAGATGCTCACATAACATGATATTTACTTATAAAGTTGAAAGAAAAAATACTTGAACATTGTACGAAATTCGGATTTGAATCCACTAGTCTGGTCAGCCTACCAGATTGGAATATTCACTACTAACGGTATAGATGGATACCGAAAATAAGCTATTTTCGCGAAAATAAGCGCTACGAAAATAAGATTTATTTTTGAAATAGTGCATTTATCCGTTGAAATAATTATGTAAGTTATATATTTATGCATTCTTTGCATGATTTCACAGCAAATTAAATTTTCAGAACCAAAAAAAATATCTAAAAAAGTACAGTTTGAGCCGAAAATACATACGTACGAATATAGCTCAAATCGCCGTGTGAAAAAAAACCCAGAAACAAAGACTACTGTCTACTGTATATAGAATATATGTACGAAAATAAAATCTATACAGTACTCTACGAAAATAAGATCAGGGCTCGAGCTAGTGGGCGATTCGGGCGAAATAGTCGCCGAATTCCGTCTGACTTCGCCGACATCCTACATGAAAGCGAAGATGAAGTCGCCCGATTTTATTTATCCATTATTGAAAATTACCAACAATAACTGTGAATAACATGTGGTGTTTGTTTGCTTTGTTTACCCTCGCCGCCGGAAAAAAGGACTGTCATGCATCTCAATCAACGCGGAATGTCTTTAATCCGTTTGTTTACCAACATGTCATAAAAGTCTAATTAACAGACGCTCGAGGAACAATTAGACTCCGCCCACGGCGAGATTACCGATACGTGCGAGAAACCAATCGTAATTCACGTTTTAATCGAGGCGACATTATTTAACCAATCATTAAATCGCTAACATACGACTACCTGTAACAATTATTTATGATGGACGGATCAAACGTCAATTAAATTTTCACTATCGAATGATTGTCAGAATTAAGCGGAACCGCTCGACATATTACTGTAACGGTAATTTTAAATGAAAGTTTTGATAACATTTTTTGTCGACGAGTTAAATTTGATAAGATTAACGGCGTATTACACTGTATTTATTACAAATGAAGTGAAATTAAAGATCGTTTCTTTCGTTATCTACTTTTATTTTTTTTTACAACATAAGTGAATATGAATATAATGTCCGGCGCAAGCTTTTTAATAGTAAATCAGAAGGGAATAACTGTTAATCCACCCATGGTATGATCCATGATAGGAATCAACTATGGCTTTTCTTTATCTTCATTTAATGCAATGGTTGCATTACATGATACTCATTCTTATTACTTGTTTCAAACTACTTTTAAACAGAGACATAGATAACAATAGTTATAACAATAGCTATCTATGTCTCTGTTTTAAATTAAAATTGAATATTCTGTTGTAACACAAATCCAATTCATTTAATAAGATATGTACAGTGAGTCAAAATAATTGCGATAACATACAACAAACATCGATAAATGAATCTCCTCACTTCTCCCTAAAGTCTCCCCACTTCTCCCTAAATCAGCTGGAGGGAGAAGTGACTTCTCCCTAAATTTTGAACCTAGCTTGAGCCCTGAAGATCTGTAAGTATGAAAATTATGTACATACGAAAATAAGGTTATACGAAAACAAGATCTCTTAGTAAATGATACCTTTATGAAAATAATATATGTATGAAAATACTTATACTTGCACGAAAATAGGATCCAATTGAAAATCATGATGATCTATACGAAAATAAGATCTGTAAACAATTAAAACCCTTATGAATTGATATTTGTACGAAAACAAGATCTAATTGAAAATATGTTTTTTGCCAAAATAAGATATATATACGAAAATGAGCTATATTAAAAATATCTTCATGAAAATACTAAATCTTATTTTTGTAGACCTGATCTTATTTTCGCTTTACACGGCAACTTGGAGAGCTTGGTCGCTTTCCTTTATCTGTTATCTGTAAAGAACGTGCTCTTAAATACTGGTTACTAGTAAATATAATGAAATATCCAGGGTCATTAGTACATACAATATTTTTGGAACAATGTGCTTTGTTACCTTATAATACCATGTCTACTTGGTCATCGTCTGTTAAAAAACAACTTGATAGTCTTGGATATAGCTACTTATGGAATTCTCAAAACCTTGATATGAATTATTTGCCAATGTTAAAACAAAGGCTGCGTGATCAGTACGTTCAAACATGGAATGATACAATAATGAATCAATCTAAGTTATATTATTATAGAAAATTCAAATGTGAGTTTAAATATGAAAAGTATCTAGATATTGTTACAAATGAGCATCAAAGAAAAGAATTGTCTCGTTTTAGACTCTGTTCCCATCTTCTTGAAATTGAAAGTGGTAGATTTGCAGGTATTGATCGAAACCTACAAACTTGTAAACTTTGTTCACTTAATGTTGAATCTGAATATCATTTTTTGTTATGCTGTCCACTCTATAGAAACCTTCGTCGAAAATATGATGTTAATTATTCTTTTCCATGCATTAATAAATTTACTAGATTATTGTCTTCAAATAATAATAGAACTATTAGGAATATTGCCAAATTTGTATTTTATGCTATGCATTTGAGAAATGAAAAACTTGCAATAATTGCTGCTTCTTAGGTTCTTGTTTTATAACTGTATTGTATTATTGTATTTATGTTAAATGTAAATTGTATTATCTTGGCCATCCTTTTGTATATTGTAAATGGCCAAAGTTATATTGTATATGCCGATTTGCCAATAAACTGAAACTGGTATTTTGGGCTCAAACTTCACATTTTATAATATTTTGTTTTGTTTCTGAAATTTATTATTTCATTCATACTAATCAATTATTAACAACAAAAATACGTTTTAATACATTATATCAAAGATAAATCTTATTTTCGTAGACCCGATCTTATTTTCGCTTTATACGGCAATTTGAGCCATTTTCATACGATGGTATTTTGGGCTCAAACTTCACATTTTATAATATTTTTTTTGTTTCTGAAATTTATTATTTCATTCATATTTATCAATTATTAACAACAAAAAATACGTTTTTAATACATTATATCAAATATAAATCTTATTTTCGAAGACCCGATCTTATTTTCGCTTTACACGGCAATTTGAGCTATTTTCGTACGATAGTATTTTCGGCTCAAACTTCACTTTTTTAAATTTTTTTTTTTTGGTTCTGAAATTTTATTTGCTGTAAAATCATTCAATGAATGCATAAATATATATTTTACATAATTATTTCAACAGATAAATGCACTATTTCAAAAATAAATCTTATTTTCGTAGCCGCGATCTTATTTTCGCGAAAATAGCTTATTTTCGGTATCCATCTATACCCCACTACTAAGCCTAAACGACATTTCACTAGCACAAAGATAAAAAACCTTAAAATATCAGAGAATTTTTTGTTAAATTTACATCAATTAACTGTTGATTTTTCAATTTTAAAGCAAAAAAATTGAATTCTTTAAAGTTTGAACCCATGACTTGTGTCCAATATCATTATCAGTAAATATTTTCATTGAATTGTTTGACAGTCAAATAATTCAATACACCGATAACTTTTCTTATCAGTAGTTTTTCAAGTAAACATAACTGGTTGTGTATCTCACTGTGTATATTGTATGACATATGTAAAATAGTCTGACATAATGATATGGTAGGTTTAACAGTTAATTTAAATACTTTGGTGTCAAAAGATGTGTTGAAGTATATACTGTGATGAAGCTAAAACCCAAAGCTTTCCATTGATGTAATTAATTTTAAAACCGGACATTAAATCTCAACAAACTAGCTGTTTAAAAATGGTTTAATTTGTATTGTTTTAGCATAATAGATATTGATTTTACTTGAAGACGAGGGAAACAACTCGTATTTTTTCACTTGATATACCTTGGTTATTTGCGTAGTTCATATTGAAAGTGTATATGAGTGTAATGCAGTAGGCTGGAAAGTAGGGGAATGGAGTTTCATTTTTTTACAAGTTTAATATCGGTTACAACATGTATGGTAATATGCTTTCATTTATTGGGTTTGCTACTGAGAAAAGTAAGAGCATTAGTCCTCGACTTTAAAATTCCAATCTCAGTTTTCTTATTTATTACCGCAAGTAATAAAAAAAATTGTGGGTGTCATACATTTCTAAGCATTTTTTCTTCTAAGGGTCAAAAGAAAAAATAAAGGATAATCCTCCTTGTGCCCAAAACAACATGAAGATTACATTTTGTAATTTTACGCGGGGTTCAAAGGAATCATTACGTCATAACTTTGCTTTCAAGTGTTTTCATTGGTTTAAAGCATCTGCTGTTACTGACACTGATTGGCAGGTATATTCAGAAAGTATGCATCATGCTTGGATAGACATATTTGGTTAGTTTATCCAATGCTGACACCGAGAGTTTCTTTGATAATTAAGGAATGTTTGGGGGAGATTAATGGATGACACAATTTTACCTCAATGCATGTAGTGTAGGCATGTCTTGCACCCAACATACGTTTATAGGCTGGCTAGAAACCTGGTTATTGGTGTCCATTGTAAAAATGAATTTAAAGGACATTTGAAGAAAAACTGAATACTTTTATTCTTTTTCAGCTCAATCAACAAAAGTAGATTGAAGTCCTCACTTGTGCTACAGATACTTCTTGGCCTTGTTGTAATTGTGCGCCTTCTTCCGGGTCTAACTGCTCTGATAGGATTGCCAATTTACAGAAGACTCCAGCACTGGGATTTTCCAGCTCCGAAAGCATGGGAGTATGCATGGATTGTGAGCCTTCTAGCAGCTGTGTTTGGTTTAAAATCATTGCCTAGAAATGATTCACTGGTCTTGAAACAGTTTTTAATTGGCACAGTAGTTTTTGGCATTTTGCCAGTACTGTATGGAGTAATTGAACTTTTTGACGATTTAGTTCTGTATTATAATGAAAGAAAATTTAGTACTCAAATCGTTGGATATCCGGCTGTTCTTGTGTGGTATTTTGGTCTCATACTCTGCTTGCAAATTCACATCTTCTCTTTGTACTTTGGAGTGAATTTATTGAAAGCATGGAAGCCAAGAGCCAAAAAATTTAAGTGAAAAGTGGCAGTGTAGGGATATATTAATTAACATTTACCAAATTGTGCCGATTGATGCATTTGATGCTATAAAAGAGAGGATAAGAAGTATACCCATTGGAATAATCATATCAAGCTTTTTGACCTCAGTTGTTGACCTCTACCTTATTTAGTGTTTAGTTAAGTTTCCATTCCATTTGCTTAACTGTGTTTCAGTTGAACATTATTTGAATGACAGAAGTATAAAAAAGAAAAGTAAATAGTCTTTAACACTAAGTGCAATCACAGTTAATGCATATTTAAAATAAAGTTGTGTTGGAAAATGGTAAAGTGTATGATGAAAGAATTAACTATTCCTTGATATTGAAGATAACATTTGAGACATAGGAATTAAGAACAGTTCTCATCAATGGAATGAAAAGAGGACAAAACTGGTGAAAAGTTTAAATGTTTACAGGTATTAAATGAACACAAGTTACACTCTAAATAAAGCGACTTGGGCATTATTTTTATGTGTCATATCTTCTATTTGTGCAATATACAAGTGGCCATGGAAGTGTTCATTTAAGGTTCATCGGGTTTTGTCTAGTTGTGATTTGAATGATCAGGCTTGAATACTGTATCTGATGATGTGTCTGTAATATATACTGCTGATAATATTAACCTTAATTTAACCCTTAACCTGCTGAATTTGTGTAATGGAATGACCCTGCTTTGAATTGGAACAGTCCCATTCAAAATTTTAAGGTATTTCAACATTAGTGGACTGTGGACAAAAAAAGTGTTTCCGACAGTATAGAGGCAGGTCAGACTGCACAAAGTAACAGGTTGGCCTGGCTCTATACTTGTAACAAAGGCTAATCACTGAATCATTCATGCTAAGGGATATTAAAATTAATTTGTCCAATGTTGGTTTTTTATGTTATTATTTTTTTAATATTATTTCTTACAGAAGTTATAATACAATATTTATGATACATGTATACAGGCTTTGTTAAAATGATCTTGTATAATCAATCAATCAATCAATCAATCAATTAACTGTTATTAGATATCATATTATTAAAGTCTAATGCAGCAGTAAGTTTTTGGTTATTTTGACCTCAATGACTAGTTTTTCAATATTTTATTACAAATTTTGAAAGTTACCATGTTAAGATTTCCTTTGACCACTGCCCTGAAAGATATATTTAGTTTTGATTTGTGTTAAAATGCAAATAAATTTTATTATTTATTTAGTGATGTATCAAATTGTCACAAGTACTGTACTTTTTTTACTTTGATGAAAGGAATGAAGTTTCTGTATTATTCCAACGGTTGAGGGATTGTTTTTTTTATACTTGTTATTGTGTTTAAATTTCCTTTAAATATGTAATCATTGTTAAATAAGATGCAACTTTTTATAATTATCATTATAGTGTTTGTCTTGTGTAAGAAATCCTGTTTCATCCGAAAAAAAGTGCATATCAGGGGTTCCATTAGTTGAAGTTTGGGAGTCATTTACTTCTGACTTCAAAAATGTAATGATTTTCCTTAATTATGTCTCCCCCACCTCGGGGGGAGACATATTGTTTTTGCCCTGTCCGTCCGTCAGTCCGTCCGTCCGTCAGTCCGTCCGTCAGTCCGTCCGTCCGTCCGTCCGTCAGTCCGTCCGTCCGTCCATTCTTCGTTTCCGGACGATAACTAGAGTTCCTTTTGACCTACAGCTCTCAAACTTCATAGGATGAATGGTCTTATTGAGCAGATGATCCCTATTGTTTTTGGGGTCAGTAGTTCAAAGGTCAAGGTCACAGTGACCGTTGGTCAATTTCTCGTTTCCGGATGATAACTAGAGTTCCTTTTGACCTACAGCCCTCAAACTTCATAGGATGATTGGTCTTATAGAGCTGATGATCCCTATTGTTTTTGGGGTCAGTAGGTCAAAGGTCAAGGTCACACTGACCGTTGGTCAATTTCTCGTTTCCGGATGATAACTAGAGTTCCTTTAGACCTACAGACCTCAAACTTCATAGGATGATTGGTCTTATTGAGCAGATGATCCCTATTGTTTTTGGGGTCAGTAGTTCAAAGGTCAAGGTCACAGTGACCGTTGGTCAATTTCTCGTTTCCGGATGATAACTAGAGTTCCTTTTGACCTACAGCCCTCAAACTTCATAGGATGATTGGTCTTATAGAGCAGATGATCCCTATTGTTTTTGGGGTCAGTAGGTCAAAGGTCAAGGTCACAGTGACCGTTGGTCAATTTCTCGTTTCCGGATGATAACTAGAGTTCCTTTTGACCTACAGCCCTCAAACTTCATAGGATGATTGGTCTTATAGAGCAGATGATCCCTATTGTTTTTGGGGTCAGTAGGTCAAAGGTCAAGGTCACAGTGACCGTTGGTCAATTTCTCATTTCCGGATGATAACTAGAGTTCCTTTTGACCTACAACCCTCAAACTTCATAGGATGATTGGTCTTATTAATCAAATGATCCCTCTTGTTTATGGGGTCAGTAGGTCAAAGGTTAAGGTCACAGTGACCATTGGTCATTTTCTCATTTCCGGATGATAACTAGAGTTCTTATCAGTGAGGACATTTAACTATTATTGATATATCAGTGATATATCAGTTGTCTGGTTTTATATACTCTGTTCTTTTATCTCCATTTCCATTCCTGTTTCCATTCACAGTTATTCTCAGCAGTGGGGGAGACATGCGCTTTTTTACAAAAGCATCCTCTAGTTACCTATATAATGTGACTTCCAATGTCAGACATTTTCAGAATCTGACTTCCGAATTTTGAAACTATATGGAACCCCTGGCATATTCTGCTCAAATGAATGGCTCTTTGGTGAAAGAAATGCTTGTTTTTTGTGTTTATAAAACAATGAATCATGTTTTGTTAATGTTTGATTTTAAATGTAATCATGCAAACATAATTTAAAGTTTGAAGGAGTTTCAAAGGTTTAACAGTTTTCATCTTGACACCATGTAGAGATTTTTAAAGACATATTTTTCAATGTTAATTAATTATTTGCATAAAAATTGGGTCAATTATTTATTTTTGATTGCAGAGTGACAAATCTAAAACTTTATTGATAAGCAAAATCATCCTATGTTCAAAAGATTGTTTGTGAAATACTGACTTTTGTCTTTTCTTTTAATGAAAGTATTCCTGGTTTCAATATTTTAACTGCAGTGATCTCCCTTTAACCTTGAATACAACCTTTTTCTTGGTTGAATAGTGAATATAGGAGAAAACATGTATTGTTTTGTAAAGGAAACCTCATTTTTTTCTTTGAATATGTTAGGGATGTTATTGTGAATGCACTTATTTTATAAAAAAAAAAACAACAGTTTGTAGCACTTCCATTTACAACCGTTATTATCCATGGCCATTTTTATAGACCACATCCCCTTATACAATGTACAAGTTTTAAGAAATTTTTTCTGTCTTTGTGTTTTTTTTCTTCAAAATTTTATTGTTGATGTTTTTTATATATATATTTTCAAGTGGAAATAGTTAAGTGAAATAGTGGTGCACTAAAAAATACATTTTGGCGATGATTTTGCTTTTAATTTCTTGTTTTCAAGTGTTTATTTATCTGTTGTGAAATTGAATCCTTAAAATGCAATAATGTGTGACTCTGTATTTGTTAAATTTTCTCTAAGCTGTGACATCTCCAAATAAAGATTTTATCAAGTTTGAATGTGTTTAAATGTGTACATTTTACAAGTCTTTGTTAATTGAGTATTCATACTGTTATAAAGATGTAAATATTTCTTAATATAACGCCCCGGCCTCTTCACCTGGGCAGATGATTTAAGATCCACTGCAATGTGTGAGAGGGCAAGTCTGTATGCTCTTTACAGCTCGGATTACGTTTAAGGCGACATGACTTAGTTTGTATAAAGTTAGCTGCCGGTGTCCTGACTAAAGCCGGTGTCCTGACTAAAGCCAAGAGGACTGGCAGTGCCGTTTGCTTGACACATTAGCCCTTTTCATAGCTACAAGTTTGTATGCTCTTTACAGCTCGGATTACGTTTAAGGCGGCATGACTTAGTTTGTATAAAGTTAACTGCCGGTGTCCTGACAAAAGCTGGTGTCCTGACTAAAGCTAAGAGGACTGGCAGTGCCGTTTGCTTGACACATTAGTCCTTTTCATAGCTACCTCCTTTTCGTATCTCTTGTTAGCCTCCGTACAGTGACTTACTTTTGGCTCAAAATTCATGTTGTTGGCAAATACCCAGTGGAAATTGCATGGTGTAAAATTATCACCACTTTGTGCTTTAAAATTAACATTTTAAGGGCATGACTGGTGACGGGGTTCGTGCCTGAACGAAGGGACGGACCCTCATTAAACACAGAATAGATACATACAGATATGACTGACCAAGGCCGTACCAGCTTGTATTGGCATACCGTTTGATAAGTCATTATACTCTTAAGTTACGTAGTGTTTTCATACTAGATTTAAAATCTGGAAAATCATCTTTACTTCCGGTATAGAGCAAGACCAGTATATATGCATAAACAGACATTATACACACACACACATATTGTTGTCAGAACAAATATCCAGCTAGCTTACGGAACGTCGATGGTTCTACTCGCCTGAAATAATGCACGGAAGGGCTTTTGAGGTCTTCCTCAACCAGTAAAGCTGGAACGTCGCTATATGACCTATACTGTAAAACCCAATCAAAACAAAACAAACAAAAATTTTAAATATTTATATCCGTATGGCTTATTAAGTGTCTATTCCTTCATATGCATTGTACTTCTAAGCACGGGAGGTATTTTTCATAAGTCAGGATTAAAATGGTCGTTCTTTCAAAGTTGGCACGGACTTTTATTGCAGATGCACATCGTACTTTGCAATGGATTCAATTAATATATATATATAGTTGAAATTATTTTTATTTATTCTTTCGAGCAAAAAAAAAAAAAAAATGGAAACCAAAGATAATTTATATCCGTAGTATTATTTACCAAATGTTGTTTTACAACCCATACTTATAAAATTCAAATCCGGTTTAAGAAATTAAATCGATTTTACAACCATGAATAATTGTTTTTACATACAAGATGTCTCGACAACGCTAAAACATTTTTGTTTATAAACGTGATAATTTATTCAAGAATAACTTTCCTAGTTAACACATATTTTGTACCATATTTCGAATAAAATATTGTACAAACTTCAAACAGGGCGGTCGCTAACAAAACTCAACATTGTTTGGTTGTATTGACAACATGAATGTCAATGTGGATATTTTAACAGATAATTTGTCTTATTTCGTGGACATTAACTTCGACAAAGTAATAAAACTGTAAAAAGAGAGGTTGTTCACCATCTGTTTTTTTGCTGACTTATAAATCATAGTCAATCACCAGCCACTCATAAAAATGTAGTAAGGAGAACATAGGTATAAAGTTACTTACAGGTATGATTGTTATTGAGAAAATATTGACACTATAAGCTGTCTAAAATGAGTTATTTTATTTGAACTTTGCGTGTCATTTAATCAATTGTTTAAACATACTCGTATTTCTTTAAGTTCGACCGTGAAACAACTTATTATAACTCAAATTATCCAATTTTGTAACGCCTCTAGGAATAAAGCAGCACTAGACTACGTGTCATATGAACAAACATGACCAAGGCGTGAGTTACACTCGAACCCACCATCCCTGTGTTGACAGGCAATCGCCTAAAGTAATAACGTAATTAAACTGGGAGAGAGCCTATAGAGCTAGGACAGACAGAGCATAAGTGCAGTTTGACGACAGACTTAGGGGCGTGAGGGATATTGCATTTACTAATTATCCCTCATGTACAGACTCAATCAAACCGAGTCTGCGATTTTCGTGTAATTTTGTTGTGATTAATGCTTCCGAGGGATCACTTTGTCTCCAGATTTTTTTTAACAATGTCGTATGTACATTTATTTTAAGTTTTATTAACGAACGGAATTAATCCAGCAATGGACATCTCAAAATTTATACATGAGCACGAACAACAGTTGCATCAAGTTTTGTTTAATCCTACACTGCAGAAGCGAATTACAGATATTTATTATACTAAACACGCCTGTAAAATCCGAAATTTAGTGAATAGATTGGACTTAATTTTCAGCCAACATAAGTTTAATTACAGTAATATGACCATTGCTTAGATACGAGTTACAGATTTTATTGTCTACATAAAGCAAGTTTATTTTTCTTTTAAAAGAAAGAAGGCGAAACTTATTCAATACATTCGTAATTTTTGTATTTGAATTAAAGCATTTTTCAAAAACAAAAATGCTGGTAAAGTTAGGAATAAAAAAGGAAAGTCATCCTTTCAATATGTCACAACATAGACACTTTCAAAGTTTAACAACACGGTACAAACACCATTAGAACGTCATAACATAATCCATTGGTTAAACCAAAATGTAAAAATGTATAGTTTCAACAACAGTTACTCTAAACATTCGCACCAAAAACAAAATTATTGCACCAAACTGTTTGTAATGTTATGGTACAAATATGACCCAAAAACACATATGTATAACCAACCAACCAACCCAACCATAAAACGCCTTTCCGCTTCTCTCAATAGTAACTTCCGGTCGTACATGTGCACAGTCCACCGCAGCACGTGACCTTTACTTCCTCTTCCGTTGGAACTCCACTTAAAATGTGTATCCTTTTTCTCAATGATAGGTAAATGGTCATAGACAGTGATACAAGTGCTATTACTAATCCAAATGCCATATTGAAACTTTCCATCAGTAAAAGCCTCGGTCGCTCCTCTTCGTTACAGTAATTTCCTCCGATTCTTAACTCCTTGCTGCAGTACGAAAATCCAACAGCCGAGAATGTTACATGGAGAATTCCAAATGTAATGTCCATGATGATTAACGTGTATAATGCTATAACCTGCGAGAAAAAAAATAAATATGTGCAATTTTATAAATTCAATTATATTTAATATTAATATTTTAATATTTATAAATTCAACCTATCCTCGGGTGACTGTTGCAATACTCAGGAGAATGTCTAAATGACACCAGCATTTGTGTTGAATTTAACGTATATATGCTGTCAAGATATGATTATATTACAATATCCTATGGAAACCATTTCGCTGCCTACTAGACTAAAATATACTGTGTTAATAAAAAACATTACTACTATTTGTGGAGAAAAAAAGAAATGTTTTAGATACTGGTACAATATTATGAATCAGGAAAACATAAAAATACAGTCGATGGTCAATGGCTATATAGTTTAGTCATTTCAGAAATAAAAGGAGTGAACTTTAATTCGTATGCAGTTTCTTGAATTTTTTGACTGTCACTTGATTTACGAGGAATATCCGGAATAAAATGTATTACAACAAAACTAGCATACATGAAGATTATACACTTACTTTTCCTTTAGACGACTCCGGGTAATTTGGTTCATACCCCTTGACTGTTTTTATACCCAGTATAAATATAACGAACGTCTGCAAGTACACAAAATGCAATAAGCCATAACTTTAGAACATATTAAACATGGCTCTATTTATAACCGCCTTTTATATTCTTTTTTAAAAAGCACTATATTGACAGTCTAATTTATTTGATCAATAAGATAGATCTATTTTGTGAATTTTACTTCCGTTTCTTTTTGAATAATGAAAACCAGGAAGAGTTTATTTACGATCATTTCGTGCGAGCACATAATAGAATGTTATTTCAAATTTTCATACCATACTAATATTTAAGCGAATTTTACGCCGTAACCGAATTTAATGTCTACCCAACTGTACTTACAAAAACCCCCGTCCATATTCCTGATCCTGAAGCAAAAGGATACGTTATGACCGGGGCGGCGTAGTATAGTGTAAATCCTCCCGCGCACGTGCATGCCAACGCAGCTAACCCATATGCCACCGACACAGCTCTTGTAACAAACAGAATATCTTCGACGTTTAGTTTTTCACCTGGAATAACAGCCATTTATCTATATTGAAGATTTGTTACGTAAAACACAATCTGTTACTGCTTTCTCTTTTGGATTATTTAAAAAACATAAATCATTACATTGAATCACCCCGGATGAAATCGTAAAGCATTTATAATGCAAACTATCAGAAATCCCCGTATGTTATGATATTAACTTATAGATCATTGTTAAATAATGGTGTGTGCACAAACTAATCATGATATCTATACGTAAGCATTAAAGCGTGATGTCTGAATTAATAAAATGCACGCTCATGTACACATGTTTTAAATGTAAAAGCAAAACTTGATATAACACAACGATTAATCTCATTTCATACAGAAAAACAACAACATTACTTAATGTTAAATGTCAATACCTTTATAATTACAAACCCCACTAGGGAGTTTAGTTAGGTTTTTCTCTCATTAAAATTAATTAATATTCACAACTTACCCATAGTTATACTAGTAATTCACGCAGATAATTATAAATCAACACATAATTTGTGGTTTTGAATTCTCGATGTCTTGTCAACTTTCAGATGTTCCACATAATCCGCTCTTCTTTTAATTAAAACAAACTCAGACCACCTTAAAACTCTACTTTAACCATTTTGTGTCCCTACTTGAATACATGTATGAATCACTCCCGAGTGTTATTTATGAGCTTAATTTATTGTCAAAAAATCGTAACATTCGTGCTGACACATGATTGTGGTAAGAGTCCGTACAACCCATATATCCGCTATCTTAAAATTTTGAAATTATTTTGATAACACAATATTGTACTGATACGGTGAGTTTTCAAGTGAACACAGTCAACTTCGGTGGCGGAGACAATAAACTCAGTTATTTTGCGTTGCCTCAGACATTAAAATTACACATAAACATAAATATACAATGTACCATATCTGTCACGCAAAATGAATCGACACATGCGGCGAGATCAAAGCGAAATGATAAAATATTTACGCAATGAAAATACTCGCAATGATTTTGAAATGTTACATTTTCATCAATGTTTTACAACAACAACAACAACAACAACAACAACAACAACAACAACAACAACAACAACAACAACACACAATTATCAGTAAATAATATAGAAAAACAATTATAGTTTAATTTAGGCCAACAGTTTTCTCTCCTTTTTTTAATTTGAAAATTCCTCTCGCCCTTGTTCATATGGAATAATCTGAAATTTATAAATAAAATGTACCAACTTGAAGGCTGCAAAAGGTAGCTGAGCGTATGAGTTGCTTTGGGGTCGTTGGTTTGAATCCTTTATACAGGAATCCTTTAAACAGTCCAGACATAGTTACTTTATATGACACCAGTGAAGAGTGGTTCCAGTAAGCAACAAGCTATCATAGCAATCAAGCTATTAGTCTAAAACTAATATAGCCTTTTACACTTGTGGATAGTCTTGTCAAATGAAGTGTTTCGAAATAAAGCTATGAAGTTGAGAGACTCGACAGTATAACACTAATGAAAGAGTGAATAGAGATGCTTTCGATGTCAAAACATTGTGGTCTGTAGCATTTCTTTTTTTATTTATGACAATTTCATTGTATTAACATTTATCGGCAATAGAAATTAATGATAACAATGTATAGGTTTGATAAATCATTAATGGTATACTTTTTACCACGAAAAAGAATAGTTATACATGTATTTTGGTTTATTTTATGTATTGTCAAATTTACATTTTCAAATGTCTTTCACCATTTTAAACGCCGAGTATTGTCGACATACATATATTTTGAAAATTGGAATTTTCACATTACGACGTCAATGCACAAACAGAAAAACTTGATTAAATTCAAATGTGATTAAATGACAAAACTGGATAATAAATAAAAAGCAAATTTTCAGTACAAATTCATTCAAAGAACTTTGAATATGCTACATTAAATGGACACTTATTTAACCAAAATATTTTAACATTTAGTATTAAAGTTTAAATTTCTTGATTTTGGTTTCTGACTTCTAAACTGTAAGGCTTTTCCTTCTTTACCTCCTGAAATCCAATGTCAGACATTTTCAGAAGCTGACTTCCAAATTTTGAAACTTGATGGAAGCCCTGGCATATTCTGCTCAAATGAATGGCTCGTTCGTTGGGGAAAGAAATGCTTGTTTTTTTGTGTTTTAAAAAACAATGAATCATGTTTAGTTAATGTTTGATTTGAATGTAATCATGCGAACATAATTTAAAGTTTGAAGGAGTTTCAAAGGTTTAACATTTTTCATCTTGACACCATGTAGAGATTTTAAAGATAAATATTTCAATGTTAATTCTTTGCATAGTAATAACTAATTTGTACAACTTATTTTTGATTGCAAAGTGACAAATCCAAAATTTAATGATGAGCAAAATTATCCTATTTATGAAATACTGACTTGTCTTTTCTTTTAATGAATCAATAATTTTGTTGCAGTGATCTCCCTTTAACATTTAGTACAACCTTTTTATTGGATAGAAAAAAAAACGTGTATTATTTTGTAAAGGAAACCTCAATTTTTCTTTGAATATGGAAGGGATGTTATTGTGAAATTGAATGCACTTATATTATTAAAAAAAAAACAGTTTGTAGCACTTCCTCTCACAACCGTTATTATATGTGGCCATTTTAATGGACCACAACTCCATATACAATGTACAAGTTTTAAGAATTTTTTCTGTCTTTGTGTTTTTTTTCCTTCAAAATTTTATTGTAAATTTTTTTTTATATATGCATATTTTCAATTAGAAACAGTTGAGTGAAATAGTGGTGCACTAAGAATACATTTTGGTGATGATTTTGCTTTTAATTTCTTGTTTTCAAGTGTTTATTTATCTGTTGTGAAAATGAATCCTTAAAAATGCAATACTGTGTGACTCTGAATTTGTTAAATTTTCTCTGAAGCTGTGACATCTCCAAATAAAGAATTTATCAAGTTTGAATGTGTTTAATTACGGTATGTACATTTTACAAGTGTTGTTAATTAATTATTCATACTTTTGTAATTATTATTATGTCCCCGGGGCATATAGTGTTACCCCGTTCCGTCATTCTGTGATTCCTTCATCATCAGTTCCCGTTTATTATCTTAGTAACGGCTGCACACATTCAACTCAAATTTAATATATGGATATGTCATGAGAAAATACAGGTCATGATCGAATTTGGTCATGGTTCGATGATTTTTGGCAGAGTTATGCCCCTTTTACCTTGAAAATAATATGAAATTTTCAGTTTCTGTTCATTATCTCCCCAACGTTCATTATCTCCCCAACGGCATTACATATTCAACTCAAACTTGACATATGGATATGTCAAAGAAATGTGCAGGTCAAGTTCGAATTTGGTCATGGTTCGATGATTTTTGGCAGAGTTATGCCCCTTTCACTATTAAAATAATATGAAATTTTCAGTTTCTGTTCATTATCTCCCCAACAGTATTACACATTCAACTTAAATTTGACATATGGATATGTTAAAGGAATGCGCAGGCCGAGTTCGAATTTAGTCATGGTTCAATGATTTTTTGCAGAGTAATGCCCCTTTCAGTATAAAAATAATATGAAATTTTCAGTTTCTGTTTATTATCTTAACAACTGATACACATTCAACTCAAATTTGACATATGGATATGTCAAAGGAATGCGCAGGTCATGGTTCGAATTTGGTCATGGTTTGAGGATTTTCGGCACAGTTATGTCCCTTACACTTTGAAAATAATATGAAATTTTCAGTTTCCGTTCATTATCTCCCCAGCAGTTGTGCATATTCAACTGAAATTATAGATATGGATATGTCATAAGAATGCATTGGTCAATTTCGAATTTGGTCATGGTTTGATAATAGCTGACAAAGTTATCCCTCTTGAACTTTGAAAAAAATCAGAAATTTTAAGTTTACGTTCATTATCTCCCCAATGGTTGTACACATTCAACTCAAATTGGACAGATAGATACATCTTAGGAAAAAGCAGTTAACAAGTTTGAATTTAGTCGTGGTTCAATGATTTTGGACAAAATTATATCTCTTGAATGTTGGAAAAATTTTGAATTTTCAGTTTCAGCACTCATACTTTTGTGGAAATGTATGTAGCCATTATTTTGGCTACAAATATGCAATATGCAATAAACAAAAGGTTAACACTGAGTAGTTTCAGTGCCTTGAACTTTGTATAAAAATGAATTGTGTTAACATTGAATAGTTTTAAGAGCTTTGAACTTAAAATGAAATAAAAATTGTGCAAACAAATTTGGAACTAAATATTATAACATCTGAAATTTTGGCTGCATGCGGGGACATCCATTGCGTGACGACACATTTCTAGTGATGTAAATATGTCTTAATATAACGACCCCGCGCTCTTCACCTGGGCAGATGATTTCAGATCCGACGGCAAGTTTGCACGCACTTTACAAAGGCAAGACTTAGTTTGTATGAAGTAAGCTGTCGGTGACCTGACTAAAGCTGAGAGGAGTGGCATGTAAAATATAGCAATGCCCTTTGCTTGGCACATTAGCCCTTTTCACAGCTACCTCCTTTTCGTATTGTCTCGCGTGACCATATATTTTAAGGGCATGACTGGTGACAGTGAAAGCTGCATTTTGTGCCTAAACAAAGGGATGGACCCTCATTAAACACAGAATAGAATAATAAGAAACAGTTTATGTTGGCCAATACTACCATGATTTCAAATTTAAAAACGGGCAGCAATGGTTAAGTGGTTGCAATGCCCATCCCTTTACCTGGCAGCCATGCCTTCAAATCCCTATCAGACATTACTTACTTGTTTCTGTTTCTGCTTATGACACCAGTACTGCATTGTTAAAAAACGAATTTGATTGACGCTCACAATATTAGCATATTTTAATAATAATAAATAAATACGCAATGTACTACCATGTATTAGATAATAATTGTAATTAATTTCAATAATATATTATCATCTGGCTAGAAAAATAAAATTTAATAACTAAGCTGTGCAATGGACAGTAAAGTAACATGTACATAGGGTTACCAGTTACAGTAAACTCCGCTTATAACGAACTCATTTGGACGTTCAAAATCTGTTCCTTATATCCGGAGTACCTTGTAAGCATATAGCGAATGAGTTCCCTGTATCAGGAGTTTTTATAGCGAACAGATTTACATAAAACGAACTGATTGTTTATCATCGTCCTCCATTTTGAAGAGCATTTGATTAAGAAATATTAGTCATATATTCAATACCCGAGAGTGTACTTTTTGGAATTTAAATAATTGCTATTCCAGTTTAATATTTACTCCCTATGTCAATTTCTCATAAAATATAATATTTTGTTTCTAAACTCTTTTCGTTTTCTTTCCATGATTGAGAATAAACAAGATTTTGAATATTTTCTTTTATAATTTAAGGGTGATTTTTACTTATGGGAGATAAAGTTTTCTTTTCATTTAAATCAAGCGACCATTGCTGATTGCAAGCATGCGTGATTATGTTGAAAACCGATTATAAATTATTATAATTATTTTACTCACGCACAACTATTGACAAAAAGAAATAAATAACCGTTTTATCTTGGTGAAAAGAGCTCATGCTAAAAATATCCTAAATAGAAAACTATTCAAATTCATTTTAATAGATGTATTAAAGTATATACAACGATAAACGGTACATTCGGCCGAGTTTTAATCCATGCCAATGAAAACGAAAGTCTATTAACGGATAGCCAATATTTTGGAGTTCGTTATAAAAGAGTAATTTTCTGTACTTTTAACTAGATTGTGACTAAGAAATGAGTTCCTTATAAGCGATAATTCCTTATAACCGTGTTCGCTATAACCATATTTTTTATATTAAATAAAGGAGGGCAAAATTCGGGCCAAAATAAATTCATCCCTATAACCTGAAGTTCGCTATAACCGTGTTCGCTATAAGTGAAGTTTACTGTATATCAATATTTTATCTCACAGCCTTTAATTGATATGCAGGCAGGAAATAAAGTCTCAAAATTATGTTAAAATTAGGGTAAAGAAAGAAATTCCACAGACCATTCACGAACTTTGTTAAAGTCACTCCAGCAGTATTTTAGTGTTTATGATAAATATATGATAAATGATACCATTCCGTAAGTTTTTAAGGTAAAAGTAACATATAACTCTGTTATAATAAATATTTCCATGCAACACTGACGGTCATTTTGATTTGCTGTGCACCAGTGTTCCGATAGCTTCATTGTTACCGAATCTTCATTGTCCTCCGATAATTTCATTGTTCTCCGATAGCTTTATTGTTCCCCGATAGCTTCATTGTCCTCCGATAGCTTCATTGTCCTCCGAGACCTTCATTGTTGTCCGAAAACTTCATTGTTCTCCGATAGCTTCATTGTTTCCGTAGCTTCATTGTTCTCCGATAGCTTCATTGTTCTCCGATAGCTTCATTGTTCTCCGATAGCTTCATTGTTTCCGTAGCTTCATTGTTCTCCGATAGCTTCATTGTTCTCCGATAGCTTCATTGTTTCCGTAGCTTCATTGTCCTCCGATAGCTTCATTATTCTCCGATAGCTTCATTGTTCCCCGATAGCTTCATTGTCCTCCGATAGCTTCATTGTCCTCCGATAGCTTCATCTATAGGTCTATAGGTTTTTGTATTTTATAATTACCCTTCCTTACCGGATATGACTGGCGAGGGCCGTGCCAGCTTGTATTGGCATACAGTTTGATAAGTCATTATACTCTTAAGATACATAATAAATGTTTTCATACTAGATTTAAAATCTGGAAAATCATCTTTACTTCCATGCATAAACAGACCCTATATTGTTGTCAGAACAATTTTAAATATTTAAATCCCTATGGCTTACAATAAAAATTGTCTATTCCTTCATATACTTCTAAGCATGGCAAGTATTTTACATAAGTTGGCACAGACTTTAATTTTTACAGATGCACATCGTACTTTGCTTATGATTCTGTTAATGCCTATTTATAGTTGAAATTATTTCTATTTATTCTTTCGTTTGAGAAGAGGAAAAAAACGTGAAACGAAATATAATTTATATCCGTAGTATTAAAACGCGAGTCATTATTTACCAAATGTTGTTTTACAACCCATACTTATAAAATTCAAATCCGGTTTAAGAAATTAAATCGATTTTACAACCATAAATAATTGTTTTTACATACAAGATGTCTAGATGTCTCGACAACGCTAAAACATTTTTGAATAACTTTACTAGTTAACACATATTTTGTACCGTCCTCCCATATTTCGAATAAAATATTGACAACATGAATGTCAATGTGGATATTTTAACAGATAATTTGTCTTATTTCGTGGACATTAACTCGACAAAGTAATAAAACTGTAAATTGCTGGCTTATAAATCATAGTCAATCACCTGTCACTCATAAAAATGTAGTAAGGAGAACATAGTTATACAGTTACTAGCAGTTATGATTGTTCAAACATACTCGTATTTCTTTGAGTTCGACCGTGAACCAACTTATTATAACTCAAATTATCCAATTTTGTGACACCTTTATGGAATAAAGCAGCACTAGACTACGTGTCATATGAACAAACATGACCAAGGCGCGAGTTACACTCGAACCCACCATCCCTGTGTTGACAGGCAAACGCTTTAAGTAATCACATAATTTAACTTTCTATGTACACCTATAGAGCTAGGACAGACTGCGCAGAAATGCAGTTTGATGACAGACATAACAATGTCATATGTACAGTTACTTAAAGTTTTATTGACGAAAAGAATTAATCCGGCAATGGACATCTCCACATTTATACATGAGCACGAACAGTTGTATCAAGACGTTATGTTGAACCCTACACTGTGCAAGCGAATTACAGATATTTATTATACCAAAAGCTCTTGATTAAACACGCCTGTAAAATTCGTAATTTGGTAAATAGATTGGTCAGTATATGTTTAAACGCAGTAATATTATGACCATTGCTTGAATACGAATTTTCTTTAAAAAGAAAGAAGGCGAAACGCATTCTATGATATTTGAATTAACGCATTTTTCAAAAACAAAAATGCTGGAACAAAAAAGGAAAGTTATCCTTTCTAGATGTCACAACATACATGTATATAGACACTTTAAATTATAACAACACGGTACAAACACCATTAGAACGGCATAAGATAATCCAGTGGTTAATCCAAAATGTAAAAATGTATAGTTTCAACAACAGTTACTCTAAACATTCGCACCAAAAACAAAATTATTGCACCAAACTGTTTGTAATGTTATGGCACAAATATGAACCAAAAACACATACGTATAACCAACCCAACTAATCATAATACGTCTTTCCGCTTCTGATCATACATGTGCACAGTCCACCGCAGCACGTGACCTTTACTTCCTCCTCCGCTGGAACTCCAGCTAAAATGTTTATCCTTTTTCTCGATGATAGATACATGGTCATAGACAGTGAAACAAGAGCTATTACTAATCCAAATGCGATATTGAAACTTTCCATCAGTAAAAGCCTCGGTCGCTCCTCTTCGTTACAATAATTTCCTCCGATTCTTAACCCATTGCTACAGTACGAAAATCCAACAGCCGAGAAAATTACATGGAGAATTCCAAATAAATAGTCCATCGAGATTAACCAGCATAATGCTATAACCTGCGAGAAGAAAGTAAATACGTTGATATTTGTAATTTGTTATTTCAACCGATGCTCGGGTAACTGTTGCAATACTTAGGAGAATGTCTAAATTACACCAGCATTTGTGTTGAATTTAACAAATTTATGCTGTCAAGATATGATTATACATGTATTACAATATTTTATGTCCCTTCAAGAATATAACATACTGTGTTAATTAATACATTACTAGTATTTGTAAAGAAAACAAAAAGGAAGAAGAAAAAGCATTTGTTTTACTGGTCCAATATTATGGATAAGGGCAACATAAAAATACAGTCGATGGTTAATTGCTATATAGTTTAGTCATTTCAGAAATAAAATGAGAGTACTTTAATTCGTATGCATAATAAAGTGCTAAAAAGTTTCTAGAAAGTTTTTGACGTCAGACTGTCACTTGATTTATGGGGAATACCAGGAATAAATTGAGCCGCGTCATGACAAAACCAACGTAATGCGTTTGCGACCAGCATGGATCCAGACCTGCCTGCGCATCCGCGCAGTCTGATCAGGATCCATGCTGTTCGCTATCAGTTTCTCTACATGTAATAGGGTTGGTAAGCGAACAGCATGGATCCTGATCAGACTGCGCGGATGCGCAGGCTGGTCTGGATCCATGCTGGTCGCAAACCCATTATGTTGGTTTTGTCGTGACACGGCTCAAATGTATTACAACAAAACTAGCATAAATGAAGATTATACACTTACTTTTCCTTTAGACGTCTCCGGGTAATTTGGTTCATACCCCTTGACTATTTTTATACCCAGTATAAATATAACGAACGTCTGCAAGTACAAATATAAGCCATAACTTTAGAACATATTAAACATGGCTCTATTTATAACCGCCTTTTATATTCTTCTTTTAAAAAGCACTATATTGACAGTCTAATTTACTTGATCAATAAGATTTTAAAATTTTAATATTTCGTGAATTTTACTTTCGTTACTTTTTGAATAATGAAAACCAGGAAGAGTTTATTTACGACCGTTTCATGCTAGCACATAATAGAATGTTATTTCAAATTTTCATACCATACTAATATTTAAGCGAATTATACGCCGTAACCGAATTTTATGTCGATCCAACTATACTTACAAAAACCCCCGTCCATATTCCAGACCCTGTAGCAAAAGGAAACGTAATGACCGGGGCGGCGTAGTATAGTGTAAATCCTCCCGCGCACGTGCATGCCAACGCAGCATACCCATATGCCACCGACACAGCTCTTGTAACAAACAGAATGTCTTCAACGTTTAGTTTTTCACCACCTGGAATAACAGCCATTTATTTATATTGAAGATTTGTTACGTAAAACACAGTCTGTTACTGCTTTCTCTTTTGGATTATTAAAATAAACATAGATTATTACATTGAATCACCCCGGATGAAATCGTAAAGCATTTATAATGCAAACTATCAGAAATCCCCGTATGTTATGATTAAGTAATGGTGTGTGCACAAACTAATCATGATATCTATACGTAAGCATTAAAGCGTGATGTCTGAATTAATAAAATGCACGCTCATGTACACATGTTTTAAATGTAAAAGCAAAACTTGATATATAACACAACGATTAATCTCATTTCATACAGAAAATCAACAACATTACTTAATGCTAAATGTAAATACCTTTATAAATACAAACACTACTAGGGAGTTCAGTTACATTTTTTTCTCTAGAAATCATCTTCATTAAAATTAATTAATATCCACAACTTACACATAGTCACTATTAATTCACGTAGATAATTATAAATCAACACATAATTTGTGGTTTTGAATTCTCGATATCTTGTCAACTTTCAGATGTCAAAACATTGTGGTCTGTAGTCAAACCTATATTTCTTAACCTATTTAACCTATATTTCTTTTTTTTATTTACGACAATGTTTTATCGGCATTAGTGTCCAACTTTATTTGTCAACCAATGAAAACGCTGTATTTTTTTAAAAATCCTGTGTGTTAATTTTCATAGAAGAACAAAAACCGATACTATATCGAATTTCGTTCATAGTCGACTTCTATTTTTCATAGTACTTCATAGAACGGCATAGTGACGTAATAAAGTGAGTGATTATGAGGCCAAATAAAGTTTGACACTAAATATGTTAGTATTCATCCGTAGCTGTTCTACAGAAATTAGAAACATTCTCCTGTCGCTATCGCTCCCGTCGAAGTTTCTAATTTCTGTAGAACAGCACGGATGAACACTAACTAACATATACATAGAAAGTTAATGCGCAAAAAGAAAACTTGATTAATTCATATGTGTTTAAATAACGGATAATAAATAAAAAGTAAATTTTCAGTACAAAAATCGTTAAATTCATTCTCTATGACAACAGAATTTTGAAGATGCTTTATTAAATGGGCACTTATAAATAAAATAAGCTTAACCTTGAACAAGGTAACAATTTTGATGTTGGAATATGAATAAAGTATTGCATATTAAAAGCAATACAAAATAACGATAAAACACAATACGGATGAGAAGTTAGCCTGTTTTTATGTTGAGAGATATTTGAAACATGCCATGTTAGTTCATGAAACGCATATAAACCCTTGGCAAGTTACAATGATGAAACGTATTCAATTCTCCCATGAAGGACATTTTCATATTTTTTTTTGTATGACTGTGAATATCTTTAATGTAATTTCAATGATTGTAAAAGAAATGCAAGCACCGTAACCGAACCTTAAATTTGCATAAAAACAACGCAATTGTTTTTTCTTTCGTTTAGAGACATAATAGTAAAAAGGAAATTCTCAAGAGTTTTTAAACATACATAAATAAGAATACGAAGTCTGGACATTGAAAAACTAAATATTGATACAGGTTATTCTTTGTTAAATTTGAAAATGCATTTAAGTCTCTTTTCAAAAGTGTAAATAATATATTTCATTGTAAATAAGTAAACACACAACAATGGAATACAACGCAATAGTAACACATGTTTTATATACAAAAACAGTAGTAAGATTACATCCGTCCGCTTTGAAGTAGACCTACTGCCAACTGTTTTGAAACCGAGGGGCGTGGGTTCAAACCCCATACGGGGCAACCCTTTTCTCTTTTTCTTTTCTTTTAACATTATTTATGTCTCTCTCAGACCCCTTTTGAAAAGAAAAAAGTGTTTGATTTTAATTATATATCTTTAAAAGGTATTGCCAAATTTAGAAACAAATATGGTTCCTGACATTTTCAAAGTCTGATAAAATAAAAGCTGCACGGTAAAATATTTTATATTTGTCAACCCATATACATTTTGGTAATTTTTAGGATACTTTAATAAGGCTTTTTGAATGGGAAAATTGTCAAACAAGTGTTTAAAAAGGGTGTGGTAGGATAACATTTTAATACATATTTCAAACATTTTGAGTAGAGACAATCATTTTGCTTGTGTTATTATTTAGATGAATGCTATTATTTGTTTTTTTAACAATGATATATAGTAAACCTTTTCGCATAATGATGATATTATATATCCTCTTTTCTGAAAAAGAGCCCTTCTAATAGCCAGTTTTAATTCATAAAAATGTCCATAACTCGTTAATCATACGGAAATTTTGTTTAGAATTTGCAAGACATATAACCGACCTGTTTTGTCAATTTTACATTTCCTTAAAGCGCCCATACACGCGACACTCCTGTCAATAATTATCGCGTGAATATTGTTTTAACAAATGAGTAATTTTATGGTCATATTTACTTTAAATTTTTTCATTAGCTTTTATTTGATATATTTAAGATCAGATAATGTGATTTGTTTTTCTTAAATTAAACTATTGATTAAAGGACCTATTAAGATTTTGTTGGGTAAGTGGTAAAATGGTAATAAAATCAGATATTTCAATATCTTACTTTTTGTCAATGTCAATATAAACTCCCAGGGCAAGTTTAAAGATTTCGTGAACTGATTATATTTTATCACGACTTCCTGGATTAGAGTGGCTTTACAAACAAACCAGCTGAGTGAAAGATTTTGTTACTACATCACGTTCCCGTTCAATTGATACAATATACAAAATGCGGAAAATTTATAGAACGACAAAAACTGCAAAAATGAAAATATTTTAGACTAGGTTTGACTGAATGGCAAATTCCTTTACATGTTCTCTCCCAGATATAATGGCAATAGAAATCTTTTGTTAAAAAGGTATACCAGTGATTAAATGAAATAAGTACAGTAAAAACCCTCTATTGAGACCACTGGTGGGACTTAGACAAAGTGGTCTTAATTGCAGGATGGTATTATTATAATTATATACTTATATAATTTATGACCGTGGTCTATTTAAGTCATTTTGTATGAACAAACAATATGTACCTTAATTTACCTTTAAATACTTCTATAAAAATACATTGCAATTGCGCATGTGATAATATTCGAAACATATTTCTGAATGAAGAACTTTAATATTAAATTCTATTTGGTCTGGTTTTCAATGGTATATGATGTACATAATTCACCTATAAATCATAACAATTTTGACACCTTGTTAGATCAAGTGTCATGTCTAAGAGTAATCAAGCAGATAGTAACAACAAACTTGTGATCTATATAGGTGTTGGCCGGATTATCAGTGGTTTCAAAAAACAAATGGGGTCAAATAAAACGATAAAAGAAAGAATTGGGACTGGAACTGATGGTCTTATTAGTGGATGAGCGAGGTGGTCTTAATGCCGGATCATGTAACAATGACATAAAGAACAGAAAATTCTATTCTTTTAATAATTGGTCTTAATATCGGGTGATCTAAATTCATGGAGGTCTTAAGTAGGGTTTCTACTATATAACGTATAAATGTGAACCGTTAAGAGCATGCAGCCAATACTGTTCACTGATAGCCTTGTTCTAAAATTCATTCTGAATACTTATGTTTCCGGCGAAATTTTAGCAAGATCCACGATCGAATCTTGACGGTTCTCGACGACATTAAAGAACTAATAATAATAATTCACGATTAAAAAGGCGAAACAGTGATCTTTATAGTATCAATTTAATGAGAGCAACATGATAATTACCAGACTCAGTATTTTTTAATCATCCCTTTTAAAAACCTTCAACCTGATGGCGTCAACTGTATCAACCCATGCGACCAGTCCAGGCCGGACCGTCTGATCATGGATCATGGCTATTCAGTCGATGCATAACCAAAATGAAGACTAAACGACGGACACGTCTGTGAGAGATATTTAGAGTGATTTTATTTAGAGGTATTTACTGTTACACACATTGCAATTGCTCACCTGGTATTGCAATATCAAACTCTTTGACTAACTGTAATAAGTAGTGATGATGAGCTACTAACGCCAATAATGTGATATCAGACCAACCATCAATTCCGTACATTATCATCAGGCTTTCTAACTGTTTGTTGCTTTTGTTCATTGTAAGTCACACCACCACTGTAAAGTTCATATGGCAACTTTTCAGATGTAATGATGGAAAAATAATGCACCAGTAGAACCAATGAGCTTCTGTACGATAAGGAGTCAACAGACGGTAGTATTTTGCAGAACAACACCAATTAAAACAAACAAATTTTAATGTGTGAAGGCTACTTTTTCTTGAATTCATACAACTTAATACTAGATTTACAGGATGGGACATGTTCTATCTATCAATACTTGTTGTACAGACCTCCCACGATGACAGGTGACATAATTTCAAACTTTCCCCTGATAATGTGTATAATGAATGAAATTCCAGATCAATGAGGGCTTAAAGGTTAACATAATAGTAAGATGGGGTAAAAACGATGTTGATAAACTCTCCAGGAGACCCAAAGTTGTGGTACGTTCTAATCCCAAATTATTAAGAAAATGATTATGTCACGATATTAAACTGTTCTCTAATCAGGGGAGATAGTTTTTAGTCAGTAGTGCTGTAGTACAGTATCAGAGGGTCCAGGGTTCGAGTCTGGGTCGGGCTGCACATTAATCTCGCCCTGTGACAATTATAGACTTTTTTTAAAAAAAAAAAGGTGTTTCAATAATTACTCTCAGAGAAAAAATATTTAAGTGAGTAAAGTACGTAAGGGATTAATTGGGAGGTAACTGATTTTACGGGAAACCTTACGATCTGCATGCTTTGAAAATTGTACATCTTATCTCCAACAAGTGTTGTACAACTAAATCCTACCGTCTGTTGAGGCCTTTTGCTGGAGAAAAGCTCCCTCAAATGAAACGTATTCAAAATCATTGACTTAATTCGAACCCACAACGGTGAGGGGCAAGTGATCTGAAGTCTGCGTCCTTATACATTCGGGCGCGTATTTATAACTACAAATTATACCTCCATGCTTGTAAATTTTATATCCCATATACATCTAGATGTTTCATAGAAATTTAAATGTTAAATCATTTAATATTTACATACAATTAATGGCAAAATGGGTATCCAGGAACTAATTTGATACATACTAAAAACAGACCTTATCTCAAAGTTATTAAATACTTCAAAAGTTAAATAAAAACTTATACACAACCAGGATAAAGGAAGAAGGAACGTAAAAAAGGTATATGATTTGAGAACCAATCGCAAATGCTGTTATCAGACCTTCTTGAAATTTATCATAAAGTGTTTTCTTGATATCGGACAGGCTGTTTGTATATATATAAATAAATGATCGCTAAGGCATCAAACCAGGTTATAAATGCTTCAAATGTAGTTCACGGACAATTAACTAATTTTCGTTTGGGCATCTGTAAAATTTATACTTGATTAAATTTGTGAGATTTTGAATGTAATTGAAAAAAGGCACCTGTTTTCTATTTTTCTAGTTTGGAATCAGACTGAAATGTGGCAAAAATGTTGTACTGGATTTATGTATCGATTCTACTTACATTTATGCAAACTTTAGGTAAGAAATAGAAGATATTTAAGTTTCTTCTACAGGATTTATTTTCATTGAGTGGTATTAAAATAATTATTTCACGAGTGGCAGTAGCAACGAGTGAAATATGATAATTTTCATACTACAATATGAAAATAAATCATAGAAAAAACTTGAATTTTCTGTTTATTATATACTTTTCTCTTTTTTAACCTTATAAATAGGAATAATTCCCTTTTAATTTTGAGTATTGGTTGAATTTAGAAGAATGTAGTCTGGAAAGACACCACCGAAAATACGGAAAATATGTTTCACTGCAGTTCAAAATACATTTTACAGTGAAAATACGGGAAATAAAAATATGCATTTTATTTCATCAATATTTTTCAATATTTCATTTATAAGTATACTGTATAATAAAAGCTTTTATAGTTGCTTAATATTTAAGACGGCTAACTAAATTTTTGAACGATGAAAATGTCTTGGTTTCTTTCATCTGATACTACAATTTATTAACATATATATGAGCCGTGTCACGACAAAACCAATAATGGGCGACACATGGATCGGAAAATGTCCCTGCAGAATCAGTTCGTGATCAGGAATAAATTTTGTTCGCTATCATTTCTCTACTTTTATAAGTTTGTAAGCAAAATAATCCCTATTCATACTTGGGGGATTGAAGACAGGCTGACTGAATCATCTTGAAGATGATTAGGCTTGTTTATGTGACACGGTCATATATATACTTTGATCATAAATATTTGATTTCAATACAGCAAATACTAAAATGAACTTTATTATATTATAACTAAGCTAATAATGCAATATGTTGATATTTTTGACTGTGAATAAATTTGTTTATAGAAGCACGGACATTTTTCTAAATAGCAAATTAAGATATAAATAAAAATAGTGCAAATGAATAGCAGATACAATGCGTATTTGAAAGTCATTTTTAATACCAATAGCAAGGTTATAATAAAATCTTAAAATGCCGATATTTATTAATATCTTTTTGCCATCAAAATATGGTGTTGGTAGTTTTCACTTCGGATCACGGCAGTAAGCCACATTGAGCACAGTTCAGATACCGCATCGTTCCTGGGCTGGTTGTCAAGCTCCACAAAGAGCTGAAACTTCTGTACATACCAGAATGAGCTAAGAAAAGATATTAATCACAACGGAAGTGACCTGCACCGTCCAGGAATCGAACCCGGGTCGCCCAATTTACAGCCTGACGCTTAACCTAACCGGACGGCTTCAAAATACTAATATGACAATATATGCTGGCGGCAATTACGACACTAGTCATACCTATTCCGCCAGTATTGAGTCAGGTCAGTATGGAGCCAGACCTAGCACTTTCAATTAAATCAATCTTTGCAGCTGAAACTTGGCATTTTAATAACATAAAATAATCCTTTAAACTGAAAATGACAATAAAAGTTTCGATATCTACAAATATATCATGAGTTGGATCGGAAAGCTTCTGGTGTAAAAGTTTTTTATGTCTATTTGAACAGCCTTGGTAGAAGCACAAGTATTCTTAAACCCATGCGTTGAGGCAAGTTATAAGAAAAGATCTGTACAACTAAATTGTTCCGGAGGTTATATTTCCAACGTTTCTGTCGAGTCTGGCACCGGAAGATGTTTACAACAAGATGGTAAGATAGGTTTATAAATATCAAGTCTGCTTGTTAATTGAATGTTTCCTGTTTAAATACATTATATTTAGATAAGTAAGTTATTTTGGAAATTCAAGACGTGAAAAGTTGTGGAACAGCTCACCGGTCATAATTATGTTAATGTACTTTGTAAAATATATCACATGTACGTAAACATCAGTATTTTATTGGTAATGTAATTTATTATGAGGATGTAGTTGTTAACTGTATATTACTAAGTATTATAAATAAATTACTTTTGCTCTGTCTAGACCTTATTAAATCATTTTTTAAAACAGTAAAATACAAGACGTCACATATCACACAAAAACTAAATCCTTCCCCATTTTTTAGGAGAAATTGACTTAAAATAATGTTTACTTCAACTGTTTAGAAATGCAAATATTGATGAACAATGGTATTGCAGCTTAGGGTCTGATTAAACTGATGTACCTATACTGCCTTTGCCGTGTACATCTAAGATGAATTATTTACACTAAAGGTTAATCAATGTATCCAAAACCTTTATATATATATCTTCACAATTTTAGACAAAATAAATGCGAATGTAGCGCTCACAATTTTGTCAAAAACAGGGAGTTTCTTCATAATGCTCAGGAAACAAGAAATGATGAATGTATTTACTAGATTTAGATTTATCAGAATAATCTGGCTTTACAGTTAAACTATACATGTTTATAATGAAAAATATACAGAACCTTTTCTCTAAAGGAAGTAGACACATCTATAGAATCTCAAAGTGATTTTTTTTCTTTTTATACACCTTTAAATATAAAAATAGTCTTAAGAACTTGATAATGTCCCGTTTTTATCATATTTATAACATTTCTACAACTGTAAAATTTCCGGCTGTTTTAAAAAAAAGTTTTCTCAAAGTAATTCTTTTCTTTTTATATATCCTTTAAATAACTTAGAATAACAAGGATTGTTCTTAGAACATCATTAATTAACGTTTTATTGTTGTTTTTCATAACATTACTACTAATTGAAAATTAAGGCCGCTTGCCCGCGTGGCCGCAAGGCCGCCAACCTCACACATCTACCTATTTTGACAAATCTGTTTCTGTGATTTCTCCACATTTTCTGCTTTGCAGGGAATTGTTTAGGAAAGACGCCTTCGTTGATGGTGGACTATATGAACTGTTACTGGCGCAACGGCTGCAAAATCAACTGGCCACACGACCGAATCATTTTTAGCGATTCTGTTAGTGGAAACTGCATCGGCAGACAACCAACATTTATGGCAGTCAGTTATAAGTGTTTCAAACCGACAGATTTCCAAGAGGACTATGGTTACACCAAGACGTCGGAATCAGGTTTGATATCTGAAAGATATAATTAGGACTCGGCCCGGTGCATACGTACTATTTGTTCTTTAGTAAATCAGTCACATTTGAGGCTTAATTCTGGATTCCACTGTTCTTGATGAATTATATACTGTCTTCAACTTTAAACATTAACACTATCTTAGTCCAAAGAGGCCCACAATATAATAGGTTAGCCATCTACTTTTTTTTTAGAAATCTTCATTCTGTTGTAACACTGTTTAAATTCACCACTTTAAAAACTCCTGACAGCTGGTGGGTAGTACATCTTTAATCTTTCCGCCAACAAATGAGTTCCTGGAGAATACACAAAAACAACTTTTAAAGCCATCACATAACACACAAAAACTACACACATGCAATAAATACACTTTAATTGTGACCAATCTAACTAGAGATGACTTAAATTGGGACACTTCAAATTTTTTTAAAGAACTACTTTCTAGACTACAACGGACTGGGTCTAATTCCGTACCGGGTTGAAACCATTAATAGTGACATTGATCAATTATTATGCTGTAATACTAAACAAAAGTATGGGCCAAAAAGACAATTTAGATCGCTCACACAGATTGAATTAATCTTTTACTTAAAAAATAAACACGCACTTTACGACAACACAGACTCAAAAACGAAGATACTTAATGTGATGAGAAGAAAATATAAACTTATTATTTATTCAATATATTTAAAAGTTACAATGTTTAAAGCTAACGGTTTTGTTAATCAATTATACAGTCAAAGAAATCTAAACAATTTCTTCTGTTGGAATTATCATAAAACTAGTAAAAATACCATGCTACTATTTTACTAAAAGTAATATATAAAGATATGATTATATTTTTAGGTATGGATCCTAAAACACTTCTGATAGATATCTGTAGCAATCTTGGAAGTGGTCGTGGAAGTCGGAGTAGTCATGAATCATGTTACGAAAGATCAGGTTCTTCCGATTCAGGGGGTATCATCAGAAGTCACAAACTGTACCCATGGGACTATCTTCATTCGCCCAGAAACTGTTCGGTGAAGCTGTATTGGCCAAAGGGACAAAAACTGCTTGTCGCCGTTCATAACGTTGACATTAGTGATGACGATAGCCTACTAATTGTAAACAATGACAAGCAAGTAAATGCATCTTCTGATAAAACTTTCCAGTTCACAGAAGGGCATGAGACTTCATTTGTGTTTAGTGTAGGAACGGAGTCCAACAGCGGAAAAGGGTTTCTCCTTTGTTTCAAGTGTAAGTAAATATTGTGTGACATTATGGTGTTTGCGTTTTGTTCCAAATCTTTACACTGTCCATTAACACTGTGATTAAGCAACCGAATATACATGCATTATATGTACCTGGAATGAAACCAATGATAACAAGGAATACTATAGAAGGACATGATTCAAATATAAATATCTGAGAGAAAATTTACTTATCCTATATATTTTGCCAGGGATGTCTGAGACAATATATTACTGATATTATTTTAAGGTTGTATCATATAATATATATATATATATATATATATATATATATATATATATATATATATATATATATATATATATATATATATATATATATATATATATATATATTTTATATTTCTATCCGGCTACCTGAGTGTAATCCAACGAATTGAAGTAACAACTAAATTTCATATCCACTACTGTTATTTCGAAATGCGTTTGTGCATTGAAATTAATGAAATAAAAGATATATATGATCATTAGTTTTGAACGTGTTCTTTTGTTTTTATATACAGTTGTATCTAAAGATGACCAGAGCGTCCACGATGCATGCGAGAAAATCATGGGACGTGGAAATGTTAGTCCAGTACCAAACGATCAAGATCCTCTAGACCTTCATACGTCTAATAGCTGGCTTGCAGAGTCGTTACTGGCTCCATCAAAACCTGAATCGACCACACTAAAGCCCATCACCACCACCGAACCAATACCACCCCGTAAATATTTTATCTCAAGCTTTATTCTTATCTTCAGTGTGTTTTCTTTCATGCAATAATTTACCTCTAACTTAATCCTAGTTTCTGTCAACATTTAATATTGGTATATTGTAGATATTTTTGCAATACATTTGGTTCTTTTTAAGCATTTTGAGATATCTCAAAGATCTACAAATGATAGGTATATGTACATACATTTTTTTAAATTCTATTTTCAGACATTGATGTTTAATATTATCTTTAATTTTGTGGAAAATGATATTATCTGTTTCTATTAAATGAAGGCTGTTTGAAAAAGAAGCCAGGTAAAAAGAGGGACAGATGTATTAAAAAGCAACAGAAAAAGAAACCTAGAAAGAAGAAAAATCGAGGGAGAAAAGGAAAGAAGAAACGTGACTTGGATAAGGAAAGAAATGCTAAAACACCTAAACGAAACAGAAGGAAAAGGCGACACGGCATAAGGAGACAAAATAGAAGACGAGGCTGGTGATTTGCTCTGGAAACTTACAATCCAAACAGGCAAATAATTTTATTATATGATAGAAACCTTGGAAAGACTTCACCGAGGGAGTGATGATACAAGTTTAAATGCAAGTAATGTACTGGATGTTTTTGTTTCTTATTCCGATCCTTGGACGTAATTACATCATAGACGAAGTTTTATGTTAAAGATTTATTTTAGGAAAAAAAGGCAATGATAAAATGTAAAATGGCTACTTATGTTATCAATGACTTGTGCTTGTACACTGCTGGCGGATCAGTATGACTGGATTTTGTTGGAAGAGTCACTCTTTGCCTTGTTGATTTTTGTTCTCATATTATATGGCCAACATCAACTGCATTGTGGTTTTTTTGTTTGATTATATGGCCAACATCAACTGCATAGTAGTTTTTGTATGATTGTATGGCCAACATTAAATGCACTGTAGTTTTTTGTTTGATTATATGGCCAACATCAACTGCACTGTAGTTTTTGTTTGATTATATGGCCAACATTAACTGCAATGTAGTTTTTTGTTTGATTATATGGCCAACATCAACTGCAATGTAGTTTTTTGTTTGATTATATGGCCAACATCAACTGCATTGTAGTTTTTGTTTGATTATATGGCCAACATCAACTGCAATGTAGTTTTTTGTTTGATTATATGGCCAACATTAAATTGCAATGTAGTTTTTTGTTTGATTATATGGCCAACATCAACTGCATTGTAGTTTTTGTTTGATTATATGGCCAACATCAACTGCAATGTAGTTTTTGTTTGATTATATGGCCAACATCAACTGCATTGTAGTTTGTCACAATAACAACAAAGCTGAGTCAATGAGCTCCATTTCTATATCTAAATTTGTGAAGGCCAGTAAAATGCCAATGATATTGTATATTGTACGATATGATATATTGTACATTGAAACAAGTTCCTATAACGGACATTTATATGTATGCTACTTAGCAATATCTGTCTATGTACAGATAAGAGTGTAAATAAGTAATTGCAAAAACGTGGTGCTTGAACACATTGCTTCCATTGCATCATGATTAAACAATTATATGCCTATTGTCTTGTTATTACTTACTTTAATTTTTATAATTTAATATTAAAAACCCCATTATATAACACTATAAAATTGAAGCATATCTAGTCTGTACGGAATTAGAACATGTATGTCATTAATGAGATAAAGCAAAACAACATTTGAGATAAGAAATGATGGTTAACAGGGTAAAAATACATTAAGTTAGGGTTATATATGAAGGGAGCCAGAAATAATCCACTTCATATGTTGTTATAATGAAACGCTCATAATTCACGAGAACCTTTCTATTAGGATCGTAACATTATGGTTACTTTTTATATAAATAAAACCGTTGTGATTTGCAGTTCCGTAAAAATGGCATTGCACGACCGTGCATATATTTTGACGTGAAGTCATTTGCGTTATACAAACATAGCGTAAAGACACGCTTAATGTTAGCGATACAGTATAGGTGCGTCTTTGATAAAGTTATTATTTTAATTATAAACAGCTCCTTTTAACTAACTTTATTGAACTCGTCGAATAAAATATGATAGGCTCGCATAATATAATTTTAATCAACTCGTTCAATAAATTCAGGATTAAATCTACATTAATTCAGTATCCTATACGTACGTAGCGAAACGCGTATATAAATATTGAAGATATAATACGCGTTGTTGCTTAACGTTTTATGTTTGCAAAATAGATAAAGATCTAAATGCATTCTTTCGAATTAAAAATGTATCGAAGTTGCAGAAAAACAATTTATTGTTTTCATACATAGAATATAATACGAGTATATAGTACATACGTTTAATAGATAGAGGATAGTGAGATACTTTTATATTAGCTAGCAAAGAAAATGTGATATCTCAAATTATATTCAAATGTACATGGCATACGCTGTGGTAAACTCAGCATTTATTACCATAAATCATGCAGTTCAAAATACTTGCTACCATACTATACTGAGTATACCTTCCAATATTTTTACTCGGTCTAAAACCAAACATATATACTTCAAGCAAAACTGCTTCATTTGTGGTGAAAAGTGCCTTGCCAAAAAAACGAGATAAATGGTCACTTGTGCAATCGTTTACAAATCGTTTTCTAATTAATATAGTAAAATTTATGATGTGGCTGAAAAAAATCAGGATGATGCAGTTTACTCCCGCTTATTTTCTATTAATGGTGACCTGGTTGCTGTGGAAGCAATATACCACAGAAAAAAGGGAAGTCTGGCCCATTATATTTCTGAGAGGAATATTGCTTCAAAATTGAAAAACACCAATGATTCACCAATTACTAGAACAAATTTTACTTCTAGTTTGTTAAGAGAAGTTTCATGTATAGATTTGGGAGAGACATCTCATAGTGAAACTCAACCTAAACAACAGAAACAAAATAAAGTTGACAATAATGATGATATAAAAATTTTACGCAGAGATGCTGAATCCTTCTTAATAGGGTCAGTAAGACAAAAAAGTTAGATAAAGAATACCTTTCACCAGAAGAAATAACAATTGAAAGTCAAATAGCTTATTTAGACCCTTTATGAGGGTACTCAATGAGGGAACTCTTAGTGGAAGAGAACCACTCATGCTATGGCAAGCTTGTTTGTGACCCCTATGCCACTGATGTCAACTTCATAACGACTGCCAAGAGTGTCTGGCAGGAGTCTTAACATATCAACTTTGCCAGGTAATAACATTTATTCGAAAAATTCTTTCATTTTGAATGTGACATCATAAAATAATATTAATAAAATACAATAATGATGTAATGATGATAATGCAAGGATTTACAACTAATTTACATCAAATAAGTAGTTTTAATTGAAATAAACTTTTTTATAAGGCAATCAGAACTAGGCAGTTCTGCTTTCAAGGACTACCTTAACAATATTCGAATAATTTATATATTATGTCAAACCAATGGTAAATCAATAACATTACAACGGATGATATAGCAAATTCATCACAGCACTATTCCTTCATTATTAGTTACTTTGAAGTATAACTTTATGTATGCTGAAGTCTGCTTTATAAGTATATCTGGCCATTTAAATTATCCTTAACATTTTTTTCATAGGTCAGGGTTTAGCTCATGTGCTACCTTACAACAAATCAATATCAAGGCCAAGGGCAGTCCTGAATCCACCTTTGGCTACTAGTAAACTGAGTGTTTGTGCGTGCTTGTACAGAACAACTGGTATTGCTGATAAGCTTAGTGAATCAGGTGTGTGTGCTAAAGTCACAGTTGGCCAGATATTTGCAGGGAAAGACTTTGATCGTTGCATGAGAGCAGTTTTACTTATAGATAAAACTTTGCAAGGATGGCAATATTCAAAGAATGGCTTGTTGTCAATTCCCCAGATATGTTTGACAAGATTTGTAGCAATCATGATCAATTCAAAACTACTCTGGTTCAGAGAATGAGATTCATCCACAGATCTTTACATTTCTTGAATGACATGTTGCTCCCCTTATCGAGAAGTTTCGTTCCCAAGGACGAGCTATGCCCCCTCTCTTTCAGTTCTGGGATGATTATTCGACTCGTGTGTCAGCACCTTTGAAGCGTTTTATTGCCTCGTCAAGACATGGGCTATGGGATGCACATTTGTTCTCAAAATGTAAAAAAAATCATCTTTTTTTGCATCAAATCGGCATATATATTCTAGGTATATGACCTACCATACCTGGTGCTTCGAATGCATGCCCCCTGAGATATTGCAGAGTTTTCTGAAAGGCCACTTTAATTCTGTTTGGATCGACTATGTTTTGGAAGCCACTAAAAACAAATCATTGAAGTCTTCATGGGGAATCATTGGTCTAACACATCAAGATAGTGCACTTGCTCGATTGTTTCTAGTGCACTTGCTCGATTGTTTCTTGCTAGACCTCCTTTAACGGATACTCTCTTACATTCATAACATTCATACAATAGCATGTAAGCCACATCACACTAAAACTCCCTTCCACAATCTTGCTTTTAATACATATTGTACAAAACGTTCTGATTTGTTTACATCAGACACATTTATTGACCCCTTTGGAATGTCTCCCCCTCCAACAAAACTAGTTAATTTTGCAACAGGTGTTGTGGCATCTGCTGATGTTCAAAAGAGTTTGCTTGAGTAGTATAATGCGGGTGAAAAACTTTTTTCGAAACATTTGCTCTGGAACGGTTTGTTGTCAATAATGGTACTAATAAGCCAATTAAAAGTTTCCATGATCAAGTCCAAAAAAAGTAAGGTGATGACAATGTCTAAGGTAATGAGCAAAGTTAAAAGTAAATCAAGAGAAATTCCAATTGATGCTGAAGATATGTATTTTAGCCTGTTGTCCATCAAAACATTTAAGAAAGTCTCTTTAGAACGAGTCATGTCATTTGAAAACTCTAGTCCCAGTGAGCCTTTTTACTCAGGATGATATGATGTGTGCGACCAAAAAGTCTGATTTCATGGCTAATTTAGAAGAACTAATCCCAGGTCAGACAGGTCTCCCATGAAAATTCAAACTGATACAAATATATTTGATGCTATGGCTGTTGTGCAGATGCAACAACCGCCGCCCTTTTCTGTGAAGCCCACATATTTTGACATGGCATCTTAATATTCTGGAAAATATTCTTGATGCCAGCAAAGAGATACCAAGTGTACCTGTTGTTTTTGACAAATATTTTGCTGAAGGGAGTCATAAGTCCCGAACTCGCCAGAAAAAACAACCTTTGGGATCCTGCTGTGTTTCTACTCACTTGCAACCAAATATGGTCATTACTGACTTGAAGCATCTACTTTCAAGTGACGACAGCAAAAGAGAGACACCAGGCATATCACTCTTAATGCCTCAACTCTTTAACCATCTGGAAAATCAATTTTTGTTAGTGGTAGGTTTGGAATAAGGCTCTAATGGTGAAGAGTGACTGTATATATTTGGTGGAAGAGTTACATTCCAACCAGGAAGAGGACAATACACGTATATAATGCAAAGTATAGCTCACTCAGTGGAAGTAAGGTTGTTATTATTGTCAGTCCTGACACAGATGTGCTGATATTACTTATTCACCACTTTGACAATTTAAATCTTAAACAAGTATTTTTCAAGACAGGTCGAAGACAGTTGCACTGTAATAATACACGCTATTTATCTGTTCATGAAATTGTTAATGCCTTGTAAAGTAATCAGAGAAGAATCCTGCTTCCAGTTTAATTGTCTTACTGGCTGTGATTACTGTAGTACTTCTATGGAAAGAATACTGCATTTAAAATAATGATGATTCATGTATCTAATCTGCAGTCCCTCTCTGAGCTTGGAAGTGGACTTTCTCTTTCTGCCAATACAAAGATATGCTGTACATACTTTGTTGGCCTCTTATATGGTAGCAATTCCTGTTCTCTCTTGACAAATCACGTATGGAGAAAGCACTCTCAAATAAGTATGCAAAGCCAAAGAAATTGCCACTAACAGATGATTTTTTTTCTGCATATGTTAATATTTGTTTGTTTTCAGTATCAGTTTGGAAACATATTAACCAGCAATACACAGTTTTCCTCCACCAACTGACTATGGGTTTCAGTTGGAGTCCTCTTTGCCACAGATGATTGGCCAACCAGCTGCTGTTCCAGAATTGTTGAGTGACTTGGTCTGTTTGTGCAGATAGCAATGTGCCAATAGTTGCATATGTTGTTCAAATAAACAGCAATGTACACAAGCATGCCCATGCTAAGATGCTGTACAGGGAAATAGTGTGTGCAATAATATTTTCACTGCTTTGGCAAGAGTAACCATTGATATGCCCCAAGAATGATAAATTATGTTGTTAAGAAGCAAAATTGACAGCATGTGTTTAATTTATTAGAGATAGAATAGAATAGAATCTATACCAACACATGTTGTTACCTTAACTTCATCTCAAGTTTTAATGTCATTAATTTTCCATTCAATACATTGATATCTACATACTTTATTATTAATGTTAATATTATTATTGATATTAATGTATACATGTAAAACAGCAATTCATAATTATGATTTTTCAGTTATCTCTAGTGATTACTGTTAATACTTTCAAGTTGCAATAGTTATCCTTTTTTGGACATGGGAATTGGCTGTTCATTATTAATAATGACCTTAACCTTTGACCTTGTGACCCCAAAATCAATAGGGGTCTTCTACCTAATATGGACAATCATTCTAAGAAGTTTAAATATTGTGGGCCATATGGAACTTAAGTTATGCTCCGGAAACTGTTTTCAATTTTAAGATAATAGTGACCTTTGACCTTGTGACCCAAAAATCAATAGGAGTCTTCTATCAAATATATACAATCCTACTATGAAGTTTGAATATTGTGGGCCAAATGGAACATAAGTTATGCTCTAGAATCTGTTTTCAGTAATAAGGTAAAAGTGACTTTGACCTTTGACTTTGTGACCCAAAAATCAAAAGGGGTCTTCTACCCAATATCGACAATCATCCTATGAAGTTTGAATATAGTGGGCCAAATGGAACTTTCGTTATGCTCCGGAAATTGTTTTTGGTTTTAAGGTAATTGTGACCTTGACCTTTGATCTAATGATCCAAAATCAATAGGTTTTTTTGCCCAATATGCAAAAATCATCCTATGAAGTTTGAATATTGTAGGCCTAACGGAACTTAAGTTATGCTTCGGAAACTATTTTCAGTATTTAGATAATAGTGACCTTGACCTTTGACCTTGTCACCCTAAAATCAATAGGGGTCTTCTACCCAATATAGACAATCATTCTGTGAAGATTGAATATTGTGGGTCAAATGGAACCTACGTTATGCTCCGGAAACTGTTTTCAATTTTAAGGTAATAGTGACCTTGATCTTTTGATCCCAAAATCAATAGAGGTCTTCTACCCAATATGGACAATAATTCTATGAAATTTGAATATTTTAGGCCAAATGGAACTTAAGTTATGGTCCGGAAAGTGTTATCAGTATCAAGGTAATAGTGACCTTGACCTTTAACCTTGTGACCCCAAAATCAATTAAGGTCTTCTACTCAATATGGACAATCATCATAAGAAGTTTGAACACTGTGGGTCAAATGGAACTTTAGTTATGCTCCGGAAACTGTTTACAGTTTTAAGGTAATAGTGACCTTGACCTTTGACCTTTTGACCCCAAAATCAATAAGGGTCTTCTACCCAATATGGGCAATCATCCTATGAAGTTTGAACATTGTGGATCAAATGGAACTTAAGTTGTGCTCCGGAAACCGAATTGCTAAACGGGCGGACAGACAGACAGACAGACGGACGACAAAGGGAGTATAACATAATATGCCTTTTCGGGCATATAAAATAAATGTTTTAACTGAAAAACACACACACACATGTTTTCCTAGGTATGTGACAAATTGGTTTATTACATTCGTGTACGTTCACAACTAATTTTCTTCAATTCGTTCAATAAATTCAATATTGAACTTCTCTACAGTACATCCTCTATAGTACATCAGTTATATCTTTAAAACGTAACGCCACACAAATATTTAGGAGCCGTTTTTTGTTGAGTTAAACGGTTTAGAGCTCATTTTTTCTTGAAACGCATCTGTAATTTCAAGAACATACATATGACCCATTAAACAGCCACTTTAAATGTTCCTTTTATCTTTTGGAATGAGTTTGATAAGTTGAACAAACAGATGCAGACGAGCAACATTTATTTTTACATTTAGGTCAAGGTAACCATCTTATAATGACTTTGCATTGAAGCTCAACAAATATTCTACTCTCAAGACACGTGAGAAACTTATTGATTTTATAAGCATTAAAGTAACACCACTGATACAAAACAGCATAAAAATATCATTATACATTTTGTGTTATGAAATCTTTACAGAAATCAAGTGAAACACTTAAAATGAAAAACACTGCAAAGGTTAATGACGAGAATCTGCTCAGGATAAAATTAAATATTGATATAGTGCGGTTCTTACCCCAATTTTAGTGAAAAGCGTTGCAACGCTTTTCATTTTGGGTCATTTTGCACAATACAAATGGTGAGGGAATGTTCTGAAAAATTACACACAAGTTATTGGTCTAAACCTTTAGCACATGATACACAAAAAACGGAAAACTATTTCCAGTCCCGTCCTGTCATAAAAACTCAGTGGAGTCCCCTTCACACACCGGTGATGAAAGCAAATCACAATTTTCCTGCTTTATGGTCGGATGAAAATATACGGAGATTCTGTAACAAAAGATGTGAGCATGAATATAAATTATCAGCATTTTGACTACTAAATGTAACCAAAATTTTATATTACCACTCAAGTGCCATTATTCTATTTTACAAATTTAAGTAAAAAATAGCGTAAAAAATGTTTATAATTTTTGCATAGCAAGTGTTCAATTCACAACATCTCTCAGATTGAACAGAAAGGTATGACACCTTATATAATTCACAGGTTATCGGCGTGGGACCAAGCTTTATCCCCAGTGGCCCATCCCAGGATCCCGCATTCTACCCAAACACACTTCACCGCATTCAAAATACACAAAAAATAGTTTATAGTATAAGTAATATATTTTTTGTTAGAATTGTTTGATTTTGTATTGACATGCATTTGGATTAGGTTTAATGTTTTTGGTAGTACAGAGTGTCCTGGGGAAGGGCTCCTGTGCAGTAGGGCTTAGTCCTAAGCCAATAACCTTTGATATAATTGCGTAAAATAATAAAACCAAGGTATCCTTAAGATACTCGCATTCTATATGTACACCTGAGAAAGTGAGGGATCGATCTATGCTGTCTAACCACAGATCTAGCTCGTTGGTTGGGCGTCTGAACTTAAACAATTTCTTCCGTGTGATACATCTCTGTTTCAACCAAACTTTTAAAGATACTTGTTTCTTCGTTATTTTAGCAGTAGTATATGTTACATATTATTTCCAAATTCTTAATATTTGTCGCAGAAGCAGGCTTTATGACAACTTCTTGCCACTTGTTCCATATCAAACTTGATTTATTTACACAATTGTCATGCAAACATCGGACCTTCAAAATGAATGTTGCAGAAAAATCGATCAGTATATATCAGAATATCAGAATATATATAGAGGATATTTGTTTGTTTGTGCGTAGCCACTAGTGAGAATACTGTTTTTCAAGCCCGCTCGATGAAATAAAATAACATCTAACACAACAAACAAACAAATTTTCTTTTTATTTTATGCTTAAAACAAGTTAAAACGAAATTTCCTTAATATTAACGTTAATATTAAAACCTGTTTTCCCCATTGAGAGTCTCAAAAAAGTCGATTTTCTCATTAAATACAAGAAGTCTTTGGCTAAAAAATAAGTTCGACAATCAACATTAAATGGCGGCAATATTATTCACTTTTATAAAAAAATATGTATGATCGCTTGATTTAATAATAAAAACAAACAATTCTAGTAGGAAACAAAGTCCAACCATCCATTCATATTTCTGTTACTTACTGTGAATTTATATTAGACCTCGCTTTGTTAAATGTAAGCGACCGAATTTTTAAAAGTTGTATGTTGCATTGGAGGAAAATAATTGTGTTTGATTCAGAGGAATTTCATTTGGATTTGTTAGTCATACACCTTTTTAAAAGAAAGAAATCTTATTTGGGGATTGTAACATGCAATAAATAAGTGTTGACAGATGTGTAAACATTCAAAATGCGGCTAGGAAATTTGAAAACTTGGAATCCTCACGAACGCTGGGTTGTTTACTTATTGTTCGGGCTGATGGCTGTCATTGAAGTTTTCATAAAGCATACGGCAGATTTGCTCGTAGGATACTTAGATATGCCTAAATTTCATCAAGAACAGTTTTGCATGTGGAAGGAATGTAGTTTTCAGACTGTAAAAATAAACAAACGATATTCGGTGATTGGTAATTTGAATGAATAGAAGTAAGTTTTCTTCTTTTTATTACTTTTGACATTAAAGTTATTTATCAATTTCATCTTTTCTTTTCTTTAAACAGCCTGACATTGTCAGAATTGTCAGCAAAAATAAAATTGAGGTACCACATCGGGAAAATCTTAAAAAAAGTAGTTTCGTCATTGAAAAGTGTGAAATTTCACAGTGAAAATATTCAAATATAATGTTCACGGAAAAATCAGGAATCCACTGAAAAGCATAAAATATAAAATGTTATTACAGTTACAATAAACATTATAAAATAACAAATAAAAAATGAATTAAAAAAAATCGGTGCGCAAAACGACATATAAAATACTAGATAAGAAAAAAAGTTGTATAAGTGGGTCATAGGAAGTTATCAAATTATGTTGAATTTAAACGAGTGAAGTGTGTTGAATGGATGTAAACATATCAGTTTATAACATACTCGTATATATTGAATTACAGAAAAGACGTTACAATTACCAGCTTGTTCTATATTAAATGTTACAATCCAAAGAAATTTGATAACAAAGTAAAAAAATTACCAGCTTGCTGAATATCTGATAATTTAAAACGTTGAAAAGGAATACTCACTGCCTTCATGGTTATGTTTTTATTAAAAAATAAATAAATCGTTTCTACCCTAATTTTTACAGAACTGCTTTTAAAATTGAAACATGTTAAAATAAAATTCGCTAAAACATCATATGAACATATGTCTCTTGAAATAGCTGTATGATACGCGCTCACATGTTATATATATATCCATTAAACTCCTCTCAACTCAGCTATATTTTCAACAGTACACCATAAAAAGTGAAGCGGCTATTGTGGATAAGCTTGTTTACGCAAGTTGTTCGGTGCATTGTGTGTATACAGCACAGAAGGAAGTGATTCATATTGAATGTAGTAGGGAAGTCCCCGGGTTTACCTGACCTGACATGCAAAGATGCACAGAATGGTTTTGTTTCACGAATATGTGCTTAAAGGATTATTAATCGTTTTGATACAAGGTACATGTTTTATGTCTCATTAACATTTACATTTTAAAGATGCATTTGAATAAAAAATAAATCTAGTGTGAATCTGGATGCATGTTGTTTTTAAAAGCAATTTAATTTAGTACTATCATTACAAAGTTACAAGTCAGTACAGGAGTTCACTGGATAAATCAAAACGTATCTCAATGTAGTTCGAAATATTTGCCTAACTGAAACAATTATTAAGAAAAATAAAACATCCTTCTTTGTTTCTATTTTGTGAATGTATGTGCGTGTGTGCGTGCTTGCGTGTGTGCATGCGTTCTTGCGTTGGGGGCTTTTGGGGAATAGGGAACCTCGCGATTAATCTTAATTTATTTCATTATAACGTCTCTACCAGAAGTATGATAAACGTTTTCCATGTATAAATAGAGAATACATGGTTGATGTTGGGATGGAGAAGGTTTATCCGGTGAGCGAGAAAGTGTAACTTGGCGAGCTATAGCGAGCTTTAGCGAGCCAATATTCAGTTTCGCAGTTAACCGGATAAGCTTTCTCCATCCCGACATCAACCATGTATTTGATATATCCTGATTTTGTCTACCTTGATCATCTTTTTGAATTATTTAAATAGTTTCATTCTTACTTTTCCTCAATAAAACAGCGTCTATATTTAGTTTTGTTTTGCTCTAAACATTGACGTCATCAAGGCTTTGTCCAGCTGATAAATAGGCAGTAGCATGATTAATGGAAACTATAACTAGGTTAGTCAGAAGATAGGGAAATACCAACCCAAGGGTGATCGGTTCTATTGGGAACGAGCCTTGGCGAGTTCCCGATAGAACCGATTGCTTTCCCTAACATCTATCTAACCCAATGATTGATTATTTTTCTCACTCACCTGGACACACAACTATTTAATATAAATATCAGTGAAACTCCTTATGCGTATTGCAACCTAATTTGAAAGGCGGGGCTTTAGGCACTTGACGTTCTATGGTTGACAAAAAACATTTTACAGTCTGCAAAAAAAATTCTAGTTATCCAGTTAATGTGTCGAAATATTAGATGAAAATTAATTCAAATTAGATTCGTCACCAAGAAGCAATGTTATAATGATAAAATACATCGATGTTTTAGGTTGAAATTGTCATAATATTAGTGCTTATAAAGAATTCAGTCCATACTTCTTCTGCATGGTTGATGTCGCGATGGAGAAGGTTTATCCGGTTCGCCTTGGCTCGCTAAAGCTCGTCAAGTTACTCTTTCTCTCTCACCGGATAAACCTTCTCCATCCCGACATCAAACATGTATTCTCTATATCGTCTTTTCATACAGGAAAAGAATATTTGTAAGTAAATAAACAAAATCATGAAGAAATAGCTCAGATTGTTGAAAAGGCCGACAATGTGCGATTGAACATAACTTATGCAAACCTATTTATCATTTGAAACAGATCAATAAATGTTTGAGCAAATAAATCACACATAAGAATGTTATCTATTTACAACTTTATGCTAATTTAGTACATTGCAGGCTTTATTGACAGCTTACAGGTAGAGATATTATGAAGAAAACGTGATTTCCATTCTTCCATGTGCAGTTTCTAATTGATAATAATTCTAAAAATGCTCGCATTGCACATGATTGTATGAACTTATGATTTATGGACGATTTAACATTCAATAAAAGCTATCTACATATTTTGAATATTTTAAGGCTGAACATGAATCATTGCACTCAGCTTTGTTGCTCTCCATTGTATAAAAAGAAAGAGACTTTAACAAAGCTGGATAAGAATAAATCGTTTTCGGATAAATATCTTGCAATAACATGACGTTTCCATTTCAGAATTTATCGCATCTAAAAGTAGCAAGGTTAACAGTAATGTGGAATGGAACATAGATCAATATCCAAACATCACAGAAACTGATCATCTGACATTAACGTGTAAAAAAAGTTACCAGCTCCTTGACATCGCAGTAGTTGCAGGGACTGAAATCTTAGATGAAGAAGATGAAGACTTTAAGACTGTAAAAGTGTTTGGATACACCCCGTCGCTTGTAATAAACACGAACATGTGCTACTGGAACCGAGCTTGCATTATCTCATTTCCTCGAGATGCAATGTTCTCTTGTGTTTCCGTAATAAACTCGACAGACAAGGGTGCTTTGATAAGACCAAATGAAGAGTTTAGCCAAGCCTCTTGTTTTTTACAGAACGTGGAATTTCTACGACCAGTGCATGCAAAATGTGTGGCAGACAAGCGTATGTATGACCAAGCTAGATGAATTTATATTACAATATTTGTGTTTGCAATTAAGAAAAATATATTAACAATTTTTACATGGTAAAACTGTTCTTGAATCAGGTGATTGTTGTTGTTGACATTCTCTGCCCCCAAACAACAACAACAACAAAACCAACAACAACTTCACTCCATAAAAAACAAAAACAAAACAAATAAACAACAAACAAACAGACAGACAGACTCACACACACACAAACAAACAAACAACAAAACCCAAAGCAAAAAAAGAAATTTCAAAACAACAACAGCAAAAGAAAAACATAAAAAACAAAAACAAATACATTTTGGTTTTAATTTTCAGTTGTGAGGAACATTTTTGACCGACACTCACAAGTGTTATCCCCGACAAAGCTTCCACGACGAAAAGGTCTCCTTAAAAGTCACATGTCGTATCCATGGAATTACTTAGAGTGTTACCGAAATCACACATACCGGCATAGATTTAAATTGAGGAAAGAAAGACATGTGTTACTCTTTGGATTGAAATTTGTACACGTTTGTGACGGTGATAGACTTGTTTTGAAAACAAAGAAAGGGGACACAAACCTTGCCTTTCTGGAAGAGAACACACATTTGAATTTTACGAAAAAAACGCACAGATATGTTGAACTAGAATTCAAGATATCACCATATAGCGACGGTTGTGGAGGATTTTTAATTTGTTATAACGGTAAATTTGTATACTCTTTTTAAAACTGTAAAATACTTGCGTTAAAAACTGTTTTGCAAGTTTTGTAAATTTCTATACTCTTTTTAAAACTGTAAAATACTTAATTGTTTTGCAAGTTCTAATTTCAGTACAATTCTTCGGGTTCTCATAACCTATTTATGAAGTTCGTCCAAAATGTATTTTTTGTCATCATATTATCAATAGAGTCAAAATTGCTTGCAAAAAGTGAATAGAGCATTTAAAATCTTAAGGGCGAGATAAACATGTAAATTGCATAAACTTGTAAGCCGCAATTTAGTGATATTCATTTTATTACAGCCAGGCGAGCCTGCACATCCTTCTATTTAGCAAACAGTTCAATGCTTAAATTTTATATTGAATCAATATCATATCAATTTAATGTTGTTTTGATTTTTTTTACGAAATTTATTGGAAAAATTATTGTAAAAATGAGCTCGAATCGAATCAATATGATATTGTGTCGGCTTGTTTTATAGACCGAAACTGTGTTGGTGCGCCGTAAAACCAAACAAAACAAAATTATATCATTCGAATCTGTCATAATAACTTATTATGATTATAACTATTTAATATCCAATTATGATCATAGCCATATGTTCTTTATTTTCTTTCTTGTTCGTTTTCGTTCCTTCGTTATACTTTTGATGCCATTTTTTAATATTTATTTTTGTCTTCTGATTTGTTTTTGCAAATTCAAGGTATTCTAAAGTATTGATTTTATTTGGTTATTCAATCGATTACTAGCACTAATAGTTTCACCTATGAAACATTATACTACTATGTGTATGCACGGTGAAAGAGAACTACTTCGAACATATAATTGTTATTACACATTGCAAACAATTTTGTGGTGATCAAGTATGGCACACTTGAAATGTGCTTATGAAATTGGTTTTCTGTTAAAATGCATAATTAGTAAATCCTTTACTATGATGTACATGTTTTTATTACTAATAGCCGTTTGTGACTGTATTTAGAATTAAAGTGTTATAATATACCTTGACTTTATATTACAGTGGTAAAAAAGAAACATTTGCACACGTATGGTGAGGGCAAGAAAAACGTCTGTGACGATTTAATGAAGAAAATTCCAAAACTGGATCGAGAATTTCTCACTTCTAAAGCCTCTGGCCTTCGCTGATTATATTTTAGTGATCACTTGTTATATATATTATCAACGATATAGTTCACGTGTTTTCATATGATGACGAATGAAGCGTCTTCATTGGATGACAAATAAAGCTGAACACTAAGGTGATTTAGTATTTCAACTTTTAATGACCCCCACCACGAAATAAAAAAAAGACTGATCTTTCGATTACAGCACTAGGGAAATAAGATTGTGAAGATTAACTTGATATTTTTGTTATTAAGATGGCTTCCCTGTAGTTTTGCAGAGTATATATCAACTTTTTTAATAGTTATGGATATATTGCAATAAATCCTTTAATTAGATATTTATTTTCAAATGTACATAGTTTGGTATATGAAATTATTTTGTGTTTTGTTTTGTTAGATGCATGTATTGAGCACATGAGCTAATGACAATTTTGATTTTTTTTGTACTTCACAATATATTTTGCATTGCAGTAATATTTATAAACAAGATCAACTTATTTAGCATTCAAAACATATATTCCGGTGTACGAGACATACAGATAACTATTGACTTGAAAAATGCAAAAAGAGGCTACGTGGAGTAGAATATGGAATTTGATATGGACTTTTTCTACTCAGTGAAATAAAAACAAGGCTTAAGTCATTAGATTCAATCAGAGTGAAATAAAATATAACAATTAAGGCTTAAGTCATTAGATGGAATCAAAGTGGAATAAAAAAAACAACATGACTAATGTCGTTAGATTGAATCAGAGTGAAATAAAAAACAAGGCTTAATTAGATTGAATCAAAGTGAAAAAATAAGGCTTAATTAGAATAAATCAAAATGAAAAAAAAAATCAAGGCTAATGCCATTAGATTGAATCAGAGTGAAATTAAAAACAAGATTGAATACAAACCTTATTCATATTTGAACATCACGTGGTGAAAATGCTGAAAAATCATTGGTTACATTTTTCAAATCACCAATCATGCATGTCTATGCTTACTTTACTTATTTGTTGAGAGTTTTGATACTGTTGATTATCACTACTTGTATGTATATATGCAATGTAAATTGCTGGTTTACGTTTATTTATCTTATATTTAAAGTTGATCTATATGTAATACCCTAATTATCTTAAATATATGTATATGATAAGGTAATTTTTCACGTTTGGTAATTTATTTATCGTAAATGAGGATAGGTGGCTGAAGTTTTTAACGCTTACTGAAATATAAATCTATTGTGCTATATTTACACGTTTAAGTATGAAAATATGTCTTATTCTAAAAAAAAACATGCGAGAACAAAATATTGACCGTGTCGGGGGAATACGCTACTGCAAGTTATATACTTTGTATATATTTTATAAAGTAAACTGGTGCTGGATCTTGATGATCAAGGGGGATTATTTTATGATAATTTGACAATTATTGACATGGCCTATGTCATGGACAGACTCAATCAAGCCGATTCTGCAATTTTTATGTAATTTTGTAATGATCTGCAATTTTTATGTAATTTTGTAATGATTAATGCTTCCGAGGGATCACCATTCTTCCAGATTTTTATACTTCACAACAGCACGTGTCAAGTGCCGTGTGGCAACTGCAAAAAGATGCCCCGTAATATACCTTGGTGTAATTATATTTTTTTGGTCCTTCGGCATCATTGATTCAGGCACTTTTCAGTGTTGCAAATTGAGTACCACTCAGGCCGGTGCTAGGGGCGTGAGTCACGGATGTTGCACTTTTTCATTATCCCTCATGGACAGACTCGGTCAAACCGAGCCTGCAATTTTCATGCAATTGTTTTGTGACTGCTCTGATTAATGCTTCCGTGGGGTCACTCTTCTTCTAGATTGTATCAATCGTGTGGGTATGGAAACATAAAAATGGATCAAATGTGACTAATATATAGTGTTAATTAAATAAAATAGAGAAAAACAGAATCCATAAAGAAAGGCCAACACGACAAAATTGAAAATGTTGCAGGCTCGGTTTGATAAACTCTCTATTCTGTCAGATATATTAGATGCTTAGTGAAATGCCAATTAAATTAGACTTTGTCTGATAAAGAATGCTGATATACATGTTTATCTTGGATAAAATTTACACCATCAGGAAACGAACCAGCGCAGACAAGTTCTAGCAGTAGTTTCACACCAAGATAATGACATAATAGACTGCATCTGTAATACAACAATGAAAACGGAAGTAAATCTGTGATAAGTATGTTCAGAAATATATAAAGTGGATAAAAAATATTCTGTTCCATAAATTTTCTGTCTAACACTTGGACATTTTCTTCCTGTGACACTTTATTATGATACCACACTGTTAATATTTCCTGTGACAATGCATGTCATCAACACTTGCCGAATCAAGTTTGTTTAAAAATTGGAAGTCTTTCATGAAATAAAATTACATTTTGAGTATGTTGTTTAAGAATGATACGGTTCCCTATCCAGTTCCAATGCGTAGAGATATAATCACGAGGGCCAGATTGAACGATAAACTGTGCAATATTTTATTTAAAAAATATTGATTAATTTTTTCCATGTTACCTTGATAAGAAAAGGATGAAATATGTTGAACTACATTGAGCAAAGAAGTTATTTTCTCGGCATCATTTGTTTAATTGACATTGACGTCATAGGACATTTCACCTGATCCTGTTTTGTTAGCTGTTACCAGCACATATTTATCAGACTAATTTTGCTGCTACTATAAGGCTACTATAGGCTGGCTATAACTGCCAGGACTGAATTGTAAACAATATAAAATGTGACAGGTAACCCATATTATGTCACCTTATTAGCAATACAATTTTTATAAATCCGCGATCATCCAGAATATGGACAGTAAACAATCAATGCTGGAGGCATGATACAGGTGCTGTGTTTAGTTCTTACATTGACATTTTTTAAGTCGGGACTTCAGGGTCGAATTTTTTTTTAAATCCCTTCCAGATATGACTTGTAAAGTTTCATAGTTTTGTATGTGACGTAATCTTATACATGTAAATTTTATTAAATGGTAAAGAAGAAATTGAAAAAAGGACGTGTCGAGTCTGTATTCACCAGATTTCACAATCAACATTTAACATGCATGACCTTGTAACATTTTTGATTTATATCATATTGTGTGTGTTTGTTTTCAATGAAGATAAATGTCTCAATTACATCAAGTTTTGGTATTACAAGTTTAATTGCAATTAAACCCGTAATTATAATAAGCGGTATACGAAAAGCATTATCCGAAATATACTATTTTTCTTTCTCATATCAGGCTCCATCCATTCATTGCCTATAGATTCTAATGATCCTTTATTATTACCCTTTTTATCTGCGGTAATGTTCAGGAATTCAACTTGAATTTGGTAATATCATTCGTTTCGTAGTTGTTACTGACCTAAATCAGTGCTTTAATTAATTCCTTCTCTACTGGATCAAATAAAGAAATGAAATCAAAGATATTGTCCTAACTAATAAATGCGAACAAAATAATGCCAACTATAATTTTCGCGATCTACTTACCATTTGACTCGAACTCGGAACTTTATTTCTTTGTTGTCTCCAACGCACTTGGAATTTAAAAAATGGCGGATTGTGTACAGCGTGACTCTAATTTCATTGGCTATTGGCTATCGCTTCTTTTGTTAGTTGCATACTATAGTAAGAAAAGACACCTTTTGTTAGTGCTAGTAGCAGTCTAATAAGACTAAAAAATATGTGCTAGTAGCATCTAACAAAACATGATCGGGTGGACATTTAAGCACTTTTTCAAGCCGTGCATAGTCATGTATCAGTGTTCAACATAATTTGCCTACCAATGAAATCAATCAAATTTTCCAGCAATGCCCTTCTTAATCGTGTAAGCCATCAAATGCTGACCCTGTCACTTATTTCTAGTCCAGTACTCATTTTATTAAGAGTATGGGATGAAGTACTCTGAATGTACAAGCCCCGCCTTATTATGACCACGTGACATAGGTAAAATTCTAAGCAAGAGTACACGATGTAAATAATGTGCACCCTGGCTCCCTACTTCCTTTCGGTTTCTTAATTGTTAAAATTTCACTTAACTCACACTGACATATACACAATGCAGTCGACTACCCTGTCTCTTTTTAAACAAAATCTTTCAACAATTATCTTTTTTTATTTTTCAATGTTATATTGTATCATTGACAGGAAAACTGTTGTCACAATCAACAATATTCTTTTATTCAACATTAAATGTTCAGTTTGACTTTACTAAATTAACTACCAAACAATATGAGAAATTCAAATGTCATACTGCTAAGAATCATAGCTTGGGTCTTCGTTTATATAAGTGATAATATTATCTTTGTTAAAGAAGTCTAAAGTAACACATCATTTTAGTTGATTAAGGTGAGTGATACCCATGAATTTTCTGTTAAGAAATACAGATCATGTACTTCTAAAATGTGTAAGGTACAGAATGGCTGTTAAATAAATGTTTCATTAAACAACGACAATGTCATAATAAATCAACTATTCAGTGAATTAAATAATGTTAAACATATATAATATATGTATTTCTTCACACACGTCCTACGCATCATATAACAATGTAGTAAACATGAGAGTTCCTACCTTAAAATATACTATTTATATAATTCATGATAGTTTCAAACGGAAATAAATTGTCGATGAGGCACTTGAATTTAATTGGATACGTTCATCATTAAAAAAAAAGATTGAGATATATTTTTATATAAATATATTTTAATATTACAAGTGTTAATCTCAAAAATAGATACTCAAGACTATTAATGTAAAATGCAAAGTTTGCACGAAGTCAGTGTGGTTGTAAAATTAACCATGGATAAATATCTTCTAAGACATTCAGTTTTCCCATTGTAGTTTTTCTTTTTTCGAATTTGTTCATTTTTAAATAAAGAATGAGGAAAATGAAGAAATAACTTAAAGTATTCTTTAATGAATTTTACCCATTTTTACCGTTGTTCGATAGTTACAACTTATGGCCGAATGTCTCCGAATGTTTTGTCTCTATTCATATATACCGTTGGGAAACCACAATTAATGAATGTATATAACTACGTATGCATAAAAAGGCATTTTGTCCTGATAATTATTAATACCTCATTTAAGTTAAAGTAACTAATCAGTGATTTTAGCTTCTAACAAAATATTTTCAGTCATTGCCAAACCATAAATGATTTCGTGCTTTAAGTCAAAACAGGTTTCCTCGACCTTTCGTAAGTTATCTGAATAGCTTCTTTGTTTCTAAACATAAGATAATTCAAAGTCCTCTTAATCCATTCTACTGTGGTGATGGAAAAGTTGATCATTTAAAGTAAACGGCATTACTAACTCGCTAAATGACAGCGTCGGTGTTAATAACAGACAATTTTAATAATTTAAAACATAAGCGTGTTTTCCATATAAGTACAGGAAGAAAAATGAGTAATACGATAATTATAAGTTTCCTATTAAAATATATTTAATCAAACGAAACAAAGCATCAGGAAATGAGCGTGAGCATCATTATCCTGTTGCAATGATACAAGTAATGTACATTTAAATTCAAGTATATACTTTACTTGAAAAATAAATTTCGGCTGTGCAAATGATCTTAAAAGTTAGCTGAAGACTATAGTAGAAATGGATTTGATCTACATATTGATTTGCTTTCTGGTATGGTGTATTCTAGGTAAGTCTAAATATGATCTTTTGTTCTTGTAATTGAATTATTCGAATGCCTTTAGATATAAATTTAACTTATGTTAATAAAAATATTTAAAGTGATACATTGTGTAGTTCAAGATAAATAAACATTACATAATATCTTTTTTCTGCAATGATGAGCTTTCTCATTCCTTATTTGAAACAAACTGAGGTATCATCCATAATAAGTCATGTTATTAAAATATACATGTATTCGTAAAACCATTATTTTTTCAGAATCCCAGAGTCAATCTTTTTGTGGTCCAAACGACAAACCCGGTATGTATAAAACATATAGCATTATAATTTCTAATGTAAAGAACATCACAAAATCGTTTTCAAGTTGCGATCGTAGGCAGTGAAATGATACTCTAGAAATATATTACTGATTGAAACATTTCTTCTGTTATTTACTTCAAACAGATCATTTTATATTTAATCTGCCTATAGCATTTGAAAAAGAGTAAATTGCTTGTAAAACAAGTTTATATTCTTACAGTTATCAACGTCTGCACTGACCAGGATTTGACCAAAACAAGAATTATATATATTGATACTATCAGCGTAACAGATTTCCAGCAGACATCATGTGAATGTGTTATTACACCTAACACGCATACAGTTCAGCTAAATCTACAATTAGTTTTTATGTCTGGAAGAAATGGTATACAATTTGAAATAAATAACATAAGCGTAGGCAAATTTTCTACGAATGATAAAACAGACATAACGGGTGCTACGAAACTTTCATTTTCTACACTTGAAAATCATGCAAATGACGGAGTTTGTTTAGCCGTATATTCAGGTATGTTTTGATAAAATATATTTCACTTTATTAAAGTCTTTTAAGACTGACAGACTAAATTGTTATTTACGTAAACAGTACAGTTTTTGTCATATATTAAGCGGAATTGTTCATTTGGTTATTGTTGCAAACCGTTTTAAATTTAAACCCACTCAAAAGTGATTAGCCTGATCACCAGTATAGAGCCAAGCAAATCTACACATCGGTGCACACTGATCAGACTCTGTACTGTTGATAGCCCAATTGAAATTATGAAGTTGAAACACTAGTATATAAATTTCTAATATAATGATCCAGTTTCAAAGAAGGGCAAATCCATTTCACAAACTCAGCATGTTAAGGGTTAAGCTTAAGGTGAAAATATATACATTGTTGTAAAAAGCCTATCGTCATTAGCTTGATTTTGACCAACATAAATGTCAAATATTACTAATAAGTTTTGCTTAATGTTCTTAAGCTCACTGAAAAAATCTACTCACTAGTTTTTCAATTATAAAATCCATTGAAGGTAAAAGTGAACTATTAAATATTTCCTGTACACAATCAACAAAGAAGGAGACAACAGTTCTGACCAGAACATCGTCTATATCTCAAGGGAGTGAACTAGTCAACATTTCAAGTACGAGAGCAACACGGGAGACAACTATACCAAGTAGAACACCATCGGTGTCTCAAGGGCGTGAAGTAGTCAACATTTCTAGTACGAGAGCAACAAGAGAGACAACTATACCAAGTAGAACACCGTCGGTGTCTCAAGGGCGTGAAGTAGTCAACATTTCTAGTACGGGAGCAACAAGAGAGACAACTATACCAAGTAGAACACCGTCGGTGTCTCAAGGGCGTGAAGTAGTCAACATTTCTAGTACGGGAGCAACAAGAGAGACAACTATACCAAGTAGAACACCGTCGGTGTCTCAAGCGCGTGAACTAGTCAACATTTCTAGTACGGGAGCAACAAGAGATACAACTATACCAAGTAGAACGCCGTCGGTGTCTCAAGGAAGTACACTAGTCAACATTTCTAGTACGGGAGCAACAAGAGAGACAACTATACCAAGTAGAACGCCGTCGGTGTCTCAAGGAAGTACACTAGTCAACATTTCTAGCACAAGAGCAACAAGGGAGACAACTTTACCGAGCAGAACACCATCTATATCTCAAGACAGTATAATAAGTGGGTATTTGTTTTTTTGAAGTACAGCCCGAATTCGCTATTCCTTTCAATATGTTTTAAAAGTCAAAACCATGTTCAAAATAATGTGCACAATTGCAGAATTGAACTCGAAAAACCATTTTCATAACGCAAGCTCTTCATAATCTGAACTATCTAACCACTACGCTACTCAGATTTACGTGTTCCTGTCAATTTTTATTCTTTTGTATTGCAATCAAAGTGCAAAGTATAATAATTGAATAACTTGCTCAACCAACTAAATCATAATGGTACGACCGATTAAGGTAAAAGTTATCATGTTCGACTTATAGATGAAATATACAATGTATACTTTGCTAAAAATCACTTTACACTTAAAGTGTCTCTGAACTTGATGAAAATAATCATTTTATAAAGAAGTTGAAAGGCATACATAGTAGTAGCTTATATGAATTAAGAATTGAACGATATGTTAATTCATCCATATAATTCTTGATTCAGTAGAATTGGGTAATTACAATGGAACCATATAAAAGAAGTTTTTGACAGTATTTTGCGGGAGTCGATTTTTTACTTAAAAACTTCCTCGTTATTGCTTATGTTTCGTTTTGGTTTCACATTATATTTGAAGACATTCCTAGCTATCTTCGTTGTAAGAATTTATGTTTGAAACAATATATTGTTGTGGTTAAATTTATAAAAGGGGCAATCCCACGGTCGTCATGTTAATTCTGCATTGTTATACTTGCTTACTTATTACTTTAATAACATCAATTTAACAATAAACCCTCTCATATCCTATTTAACTTTAAACATTGAACAAAGGTCCATGTTGTATCCGTTTAAGGCGACCTAGATAAAGATGTAAATGACGTACCAAAAGTATAAATTTCCAAGTATTTAACTGTGTACGTATCTGATGTGACATTATGTTCGGTTACCAAGAGTATGTTGAATTGTATGATTATAATAATTATTGCATTACTATTTTATTTATTGACAGAACTCATCGTTTTAACGAAAAACCTACTCGTTATTGCCTGTGCTACTTTTAAGTATTTACTAACAATGGAAGACATTCATAGCTAAAAATCTTTTTGTAAGATTTTATTGTTTCAGACAACCATACTTCCGTCACGTTAAATTTGCATGTAAAAACTGGATTTCAGTATAATTCAAGGACATAAATGAGAACGGATACGTTTAACTGATATAAATGAAGTGCCTCTTTGACTTTGTACCTTTTTGAAACTTTAGGAAAATAAATCGTATAGTATGTACTAAAATTAGAAAATTACAAGTTTTTATCTGTATAACTGCATGATCAAATTACTCATTTTATGTCACGACTAGTTTCTTATGCAATTTATTTAGGAGATGACATAAACGTTGACAGTATAACAAGGGAGAACACCATTCAGTCAAACAAAACGTTAACATCACAAGGGAGTCAATTAACTTTATACCTAAACAGATCTACACTCTATGCTTCGGTCGACACACAAAACAGTATAGGTTTGCTATCAGTTGTCAAAATGGCACATAAACTATTATTTCATAGTTTTTCTATTGTGTTATTATACATGACAAAGTTCTTTCTTTCCTGTGTCTTGAGTTCTTAAGCCCTTAATTTGTGGAGGGCACTAGCGGCTACTATACGTGCATATTGCAGACAAAGTGCAGTTTACAAAAGTGTTGAAATTCTTTTAAGATTTGAAAATGTTATGAGCATGAACTTTGAAATCGAATATACATATTTAGGACACTATAAATAAACAAATGTTTAGTAAATAAATTCTTTTATCCGGTTCGCTATAAAATGTAAATATTTACGAAACTTTTATATTTCAGAATCATATAACCGACTTTTTTGCAAACACGAACAACAACTTAGTAAGTATAAAAATATGGGTGTTTCTAACATCCAAGATGAGGTTATTGATAATTACTTATAAAAATAGGTTATTGATAATTACTTATAAAAATTAACAAGTGTATAATCCAATAATTCTGATCAGCTGTGTTAGCAAACTTATTTTGGTGTATTGAATATTAGACTTTACTCATTTCAAGATTCAACAAATATTCTATTAATCCAAGCTGGCTATATAAAATATTCCTTTTTTTTCTGCATCTTAAAATATGCACACATACATAAAATAAGGTGTCTCTCAAACTGGGGAATACTTTCCTTTCTCAGACATTTCACAAATTGAATGGAACATAAATTTCCACTATTTAAGTTAGAAACAATATATGCAGTTACATCTCAAGAAGAAGTACAGTGCTCAAGAACCTTGACTCTCTTTTGAGAAATGTTGAAGTTATTGCTATTTTTTCTTACTTAATTTTCCGGTGCATAACTCAAGAAAAATGGCAATATAAGCTCGAAACTTTGTTAACAGATTGGTCTTATTAGAAAAAAAGTGAGTGCATAAAAATCAAAACCTTTGAAGGTTTAATTTTGGTTTAATCGACCTTTTGTATTTTTTCATAATATATTTTTTTGTTCGAGGCAGAACATACTTCACAGATGGATAGGTCTCATGGAAGTGCATTGCATAAAAACAATAATTCTCTTTTGCATAATTTGATTTTGGAGTTATTGTCCAATGTAATTTTTATTCATAATATTTAGGCGGCATGATTAAAAAAGATTAAGGATATTTACTTGAAATTGTACGTATTGATAGGTTACAGTAAGCATTTCCAAATAAATCGGATAACTGAATGCGTTTTTTCCTGGTCTTACTTGGGTCAATGAATTGGATAATTTGTGCATAAAATTGCTATCATCATACTTGAATCCTAACAATGTGTCTCTTATTTCAATATATTTAAAATGAATGACAAAAATGACATAAAATAATAAAAAGAAATTTTATATTTTTAATGTCATTGAATTTCAAAAGGATAATCTTTTGTCTGTCACTGTTAATTTTTGGCCTTTACGTTGAAATGATTCTGTGTGTACATAATACTTAGGAATCTCTAGTCAATTGAATTGTATGAATCGACAGGGTATATCAGTTCAAATAATTGGTTTGATTGAACATGACTTTAAAACTAAATGAACAAAGCAACACTGAAGAAGCACATTTACCATACGGCCCTACATGTCATTAAAATACATTTTCATATGATTACTTATCATAGTAAATCTCTATTTCTTTTTACAAGTATTTTTGATCAGAGCAATTTCTCCTACTTTGTTAAAAAGAATAGCCAGGTAACTGTTCTTTACATATATACTAACTCGAACCTAGGAAAAATAAAAAAAAATACTGTATGATAGTGTTACTGAAATCCTAAAATTCTGATATTTTTGTTTCATTTTCAGTTGTTAAAGTATGTACTGATGACGAAGTGCTGAATAAAAGATTAATGTTCATTGATACTGTGAGTGTTCCGAAACATCAACGGACTGAATGTGAATGTCTTGTAACACCTTTAGAACGGGGTTTTACTTTGAGTTTAAAACTGCAAAATATATCTGGAAGACGAAATATGCAATTTCAAATAAAAAATATTACAGTTGGAAAATATTATAACAATACAAAAACGAATGTTACAGGTGCAACGAAACTTTTATTTTCAACAACTGAAGATCACCGAACAGAGGGACTTTGCTTAGCTGTTTATTCGGGTAAGTTTTCCGGAGGAATGAACGTGCCTTTTCATAAAAAGAATCGATACTGTTTATATTTTCAGTTTTGCTAAGTCATTATACTGAAAAACAGACAACTGTGATCACTACCTAATACATTTGAAATACAATTCATAATTATTGTATAAAATGCTTCGTTAATTTTAAAACGGTTTTGAAATATTTAAGGAATAAAAAACTAGTTATGTAATACAGGCCATGACCTTTAACTATAGGGTTTTCAAAAGAAGGTTTATCACCTTTTTTCATACATGAACATCTGCAAAATCACTATGACGCAAGCCCACATTGCTAAGTATTAAAACGATAAAAAACGGCGCATTCTCGGGTGATTTCATATTCTTCTTCGTTAATCGCGTGCACAGTTTTATGCAAAAATAATTAATTGTGGCACGAAATTCAATTCCCATTTTTTTGCATGAAGCATAATACAAAAATAAATATAAGAACAATTAACAATTATAAGTGAACAATTAACAAGAGCTTAACAAACAGACAAAGAGAATAATTTCAATAAGATATTATCAAAATATGTTACCTTAAAATGCGAATTTTTTTTGCAGTAAAAATTGAATTTTGCATTTTTATATAATGTATTCTTTGATTATGAAACATGATATTTTCAAATAGTTTTAAGAAGGGCAAGTCACAATAATAACTTCTAAAAATTGACTTCTAAGGGTTTAATATTTTGGACAAACTAGTAAAAAGTGGTATTCGGTTTCGATCGATTGCATGTTTCATGATTTACAAAGGCACTCATTTTGGGATATGTTTGTGTATTTTCCCGTTTCTATGGCTTTGTATTGGTGTACTGAGACTCTAATTTTAGCTAAAGCAGTTTTTAAGTAGTTTTCTTTGACATTTTCTAGATATCTTTCTGTTTAAATATTGGATATGTTTTTAATTTGATTGAATTGTTCTTGAATTCTTATAAAACTGGTTATTTATGCTTCTGGTGTCTAGATTTAAATTCTTGATTTCAGAAGTCGTAGTCTTTTTTATTTACAAGGTCACAGAGATAGTTTGCTATTGTTTCAGAACGTTATTAAAAACTACACATTTGATGATTTTATATGCATTTAGAATAAAACTCAACACAACATTTAAATGAATGAACTGAGTAAAATAAAAGATATTGCCATTAATAAAATCGTATTCTTAACAAATTTAATACAATTAATTATTTTCTATCGTTTATGGATGCTGAACAAAACATTCTAGGAGTATAGTTATACTTAAGTTATAGTATGTTGGTTTTCAGTAAATAGGTTCTGAATAGCAATACAATATAGAATGATTTGATACCCTTTATTATTTAAATGTCAAACAAATTTTGTAATTTGACTTTTTGAAATTAAGTCATGTACAAATTAATAAAATTAATGAATGCCTTTTAATTCACATAAAGATATTCGTTTACAACATCACCCTTGATACTTAATACTTTCCTGTAAAATTATTAATTGACTGCAGATGGCGCTTACTTCAATATGACTTGTAAGAGATCAACAAGAGGAACAACAAGCCAGTCCAGTCCAACATCAACAACAGGAGTCAACGCTATTATAAGTATGTTAAAGCATATATCCATGACATGTATTTTCAATATAAATCAACATGTAGTTATGTCCCTTGTTACATGTGCCAATAAATGTGTCAAAGTTATATCGAACTGTTCTAATACGTTCATATTTAGATATCCACTTTACTATGGTATCAATTCGAATTAAAAACAAGAGGGCCATGATGACCCTGAAGTCGCTCACCTGTATATAGGCCCCCGGAGCGGGGCCAGTTAAAACCCCATGCTTAACATCTAAGGTCTAGCTGGTCAAGTTTTTTCTTTACACATATAGTTAAAAACAATGACACACCTGGGGCAGGGCCAGTTTTGACCCAAGGGCTTTTATTTGAACAATCTTTGTAGAAACTTACTAGAAAATGTTTCATGCTTAATATCTAAACTCTAGCTATTCGGGTTTTTTCAAAGAAGACTTTTAAGTTTTTGCTATACACATAAAAGGAAAATCAATGTCAGCCCGGGCGGGGCCAATTTTGACCCCAGGGCTTTTATTTGAACAAACTTGGTAGACATCCATTAAAACATGTTTCATGCCAAATATCTAAGCTCTAGCTCTTTGGGTTTTTAGAAGAAGATTTTTTAAGTTTTTACTATATGCATATAGGGAAAATCAATGACCCCCTGGGGCGGGCCAATTTTGACCCCAGGGCTTTTATTTGAACAATCTTGGTAGACACTCATTAGAAGATGTTTCATGCCAAATATCTTAGCTCTAGCTCTTTGGGTTCTTTAAAAGAAGATTTTTTAAGTTTTTACTATATGCATATATGGAAAATCAATGACCCCCTGGGGCGGGGGCCAATTTTGACCCCAGGGATTTTATTTGAACAATCTTGGTAGACACTCACTAGAAGATGTTTCATGCCAAATATCTAAGCTCTAGCTCTTTGGGTTTTTAGCTCACCTTGCACAAAGTGCAGGTGAGCTTTTAGGATGGCCAACCAAATGGCGTCCGTCGTCTGTCGTCCGTCCACATTTTAAATATTCTAAGGACATCTTCTATGATACCGCAAGGCCAATGTTAATGAAACTTGGCAGGAATACTCTTTGTATGAAGCTCTATCAAGATTGTTCAAAGAATTCCATTTCATGCAGAACTCTGGTTGCCATGGCAACCGAAAGAAAAATCTTTAAATATCTTCTTTTAAAGAACCGTAAGAGCTAGAGCTTAGATATTTGGCATGAAACATCTTCTAATGAGTGTCTACCAAGTTTGTTCAAATAAAAGCCCTAGGGTCAAAATTGGCCCCGCCCCAGGGGGTCATTGATTTTCCCTATATGCATATAGTAAAAACTTAAAAAATCTTCTTTTAAAGAACCCAAAGAGCTAGAGCTAAGATATTTGGCATGAAACATCTTCTAGTGAGTGTCTACCAAGTTTGTTCAAATAAAAGCCCTGGGGTCAACATTGGCCCGGGCCCGGGGGGTCATTGATTTTCCCTATATGCATATAGTAAAAACTTAAAAAATCTTCTTTTAAAGAACCCAAAGAGCTAGGGCTAAGATATTTAGCATGAAACATCTTCTAATGAGTGTCTACCAAGTTTGTTCAAATAAAAGCCCTGAGGTCAAAATTGGCCCTGCCCCAGGGGGTCATAGATTTTCCCTATATGCATATAGTAAAAACTTAAAAAATCTTCTTTTAAAGAACCCAAAGAGCTAGAGCTAAGATATTTGACATGAAATATCTTCTAGTGAGTGTCTACCAAGTTTGTTCAAATAAAAGCCCTGGGGTCAAAATTGGCCCCGCCCCGGGGGGGTCATTGATTTTCCCTATATGCATATAGTAAAAACTTAAAAAATCTTCTTTTAAAGAACCGTAAGAGCTAGAGCTTAGATATTTGGCATGAAACATCTTCTAGTGAATGTCTACCAAGTTTGTTCAAATAAAAGCCCTGGGGTCAAAATTGGCCCCGTCCCAGGGGGTCATAGATTTTCCCTATGTGCATATAGTAAAAACTTAAAAAATTTTCTTTTAAAGAACCCAAAGAGCTAGAGCTAAGATATTTAGCATGAAACATCTTCTAATGAGTGTCTACCAAGTTTGTTCAAATAAAAGCCCTGGGGTCAAAATTGGCCCCGCCCCAGGGGGTCATTGATTTTCCCTATATGCATATAGTAAAAACTTAAAAAACTTCTTTTAAAGAACTCAAAGAGCTAGAGCTAAGATATTTAGCATGAAACATGTTCTAATGGGTGTCTACCAAGTATGTTCAAATAAAAGCCCTGGGGTCAAAACTGGCCCCGCCCCGGGGGTCATTGATTTTCCTTATATGTGTATAGCAAAAACTTAAAAATCTTCTTTGAAAAAACCCAAATAGCTTGAGTTTAGATATTATACATGTACATGAAACATCTTTAAGTAAATATCTACAAAGTTTGTTCAAATAAAAGCCCGGGGGTCAAAACTGGCCCTGCCCCAGGGGTGTCATTGTTTTTAACTATATGTGTATAGTAAAAACTTAAAATCTTCTTTTAAAAAACCCAATGAGCTAGAACTTAGATGTTTAGCATGAAACATCTTCTTATGGGTGTCTACCAAGTCTGTTCAAATAAAAGCCCTTGGGTAAAAATTGGCCCGGGGGGGGGGGCTATATACAGGTGAGCGACCTCAGGGCCATCATGGCCCTCTTGTTTTAGAAGAAGATGTTTAAAGTTTTTTCTTTTGGTTGCCATGGCAACCAGAGTTCTGCATGGAATGGAATTCTTTGAACAACTTTGTTAAGGCTTCACACAAGGAACATCTCTGTGAAGTTTCATTATGATCTGCCTTATGGTTTCATAGGAGATGTCGTTTGAAAAGTGTGAACGGACAACGTACGACGGACGACGGACGACAGACGACGAACGAAGAGTGATCCTAATAGCTAAAAACCCACAGACAAGCTATTATGCTTAACAGACCGCTTTAACAGTCCCAAAATTAAATATACTTAAAATACCTATTTGTGGTATGATAATAAAGATCTGACTGGAAATTATTTTGATAAATAAAATGCTTACTTGTCTGTCTGGTAAATGTTGCTTCTAAACATAAGTTTGTGTCAGGAATTATCAATACATATACTTACATGGCTTACAAATGATATGGAATTTGAATTTTGTGCAAAACACTTATCATAAGTGTTAATAAAATTACCTGATTGTGCTTACACTTTCAGTTCTTACTGTATCATTAATAATTGAATTTTGAGCAAACACGTATCTTTAGTATGAATATAATAACCTTATTGCGCTTCCACTTCAAGTTCTTACAGTGTCATTGTTTAGTATTTTAGTTTTGTGCAAAACACTTATCATAAGTGTTAATAAAATTACCTTTTGTGCTTACATTTCCAGTACTTACCATGTCATTATTTAGTATTTGAATTTTGTGCAAATCACTTATTCTTAGTGTGAATAAAATAACATATTGTGCTTACACTTCCAGTTCCTACCGTGTCAGCAGCTTGTGGACTTCTTTTTGGAATTGTTATTGCTGTTGTCTGCGTTATTGTCTACCAAAGGTAAATTTAACCTTAATTATTGTGATAAAAATTCTTTAAATGATTTAAATGGCAAAAAATGTTTTATGATAAATTAACACTCGAATAAGGTTAGAAACATTTATACATTCTTTTTATATAAAAAACCATACACACGATAAAAAATTAAGGTTTGCGTAAATTATGTATAGTCACCATCAATGAATTTGTATAATCTTTAATTTCACAGTAATAGTATATTTCCATGTGGCTAGTGATTACATTGTTCAAAGGTAACCTATCTAAGTCATACACCCTGATCAATAAAGTGTTCAGCCAGATACAAGATAGAACAACATTTTACTCATTTCTAGATAGAGCGTTAAATGGTGTGTCCCTGTGTCCCTAAGTTATTTTGTGTAACAATTTTAAGAGTAAGTTGAATATCATACTCAAGATTCGAGATGTTAATCACATGATGTCAGTTGCCATAAACAATAATGTCGTTAAATCGCATTAGTTATTTTATCTATTATTTATATTTTCTTAGATCCGTTGTCTATACATACAAGAGTATATGTTAACAGGAGTATAATAATAACCTTTTTTGTGTCACCTTTGCATATCGTCGGTATTTTACGGTTCAATAATCTATATCAGAGTTTTTAACCTTTAATGAATTTATCTAATTTGTCTCCTGCTACACAGTATTGGCTATCAGCAGGCGACACATATGATCACTGATCGCTCTTGTATTGACTAACTGATTTATGCCCTTATAGGAAAAAGAAAGGGAAAGGAAGACAAGCCACTATGATAATCCCCGCAGACGCAAATGTGGAGAGTGATTATTATATGACTGAAAATGCGATGTACAATATGGGTGAGATTTGCACGAGACAACCAACCAATGAAAACGAACACAATGATGTTGCCAATGATGCCGAAGCATATGCCGGAGCATCGCCAAGCCATTATGATTGTATCCAAGAATCAACTGACAGAAACCAATCTTCTGAAAACTCACCAAGCCATGCTGTGTCAAACGAGTATTCAACGTGTCTAAAAGCAGGTCAAGTCACTGCTGGTGGCTTAAACAATAACACTTCAAATAATTATCAAAAGTACCAACTAAAAGGTTCAAGAATAAATGGTGATGATAATACGGTATATGACAGTACAAAGTCAACCATTCCTCAGCAGGCGGTCGGAGATAATGATTATCATCATTTAGGTTCTGTTGGTTTGAATAGATTGAATCTAACATATGATAAAATTGGTTATACTGGTGTGGTTAAAAATTAGACAATTTTAAATGAGGAATATATATAACAAGTATTAGCATTTCCAAAAATGCTTGCATTGCCATTCAGCAATGAATATAGAAATGATTTCATTTCTCGCCTAATACCTTACGTGTGGTCAAAACATAAAACCAACAGAAATATTTGATACACTCTACTATTCTATAAAATATAGTAATAGTATATGAAACGAGTTAGTGACGAGGATATAACACTGGCTGGGGCGACATCAATGCATGTTTCTGCTACAAAATGTCGAGCCGTTAGACCGATACAATTGTTTTTCAGAAACATCCCGAGATGTCGCCCGAGCCAGTGTTATACCCCCGTAACTAACGAGTGTCATAACTATAACTGTTTTATCGCATTTTCATCGTTTTATAGAAATCAGAAAAAAAACGACAACAAAAAAGTGCATTTCTCTCTCTTGTGCCCTTTCACTTTTTCATCTTCTCACTCCCAGACAAAATGAACCAAAACCAGCTAATGATGTCGTAAGCTACCTTACAGCTATATATAATATTGAAAAACAACGTCAAATGTTAGAGACGGATTGTAAACTGATAACTTGTGGAGAAAGTTATTCGGATTCAAGATTTTAGGGCTTTAGATCGTGTTTTCAAGTCGCATCTTTTTAAAATATTGTAAAATCAGCTGTTGTTTATTAAGGGCAAACAATTAGAAATTAGAATTAAAACCAATTAATGAAGATTACATAAATAAACACAATTCTGGTTTACCTTAAAGTAATGAGATAATGATCTCTGTGCTCAATTCTGAAATAAATATTATCCAGAACAAACTGAAATCAAATTAAGGAGCAAAAATAATATATATTGAAGAAACTTTAACATAGCATCAGACACATGTCACAGATTCATTTGCTTTCTATTGTTTGTCTCTTAAACCAGATGTACATTATCAGGGAAACATTTAAGAAACAAAAAGACCTTTGGTAGAAAATTTGAATATATAAATACATTCAATGATATGTATGTTATGCATTATCATTATCATGATAAATCAAAACAGAAAATGAATATTACTAGTCCACTTTTCGAAGAAAACAGGGGGTGGGGGTATTGTCATGACCCTCTCGTCGTTAATCTTTTTGGTTCAGTTTTCAATTATGGTCATTAAGATCAATACTGATAATGCTATATAACATTGAAATTTCATTTGTTTATACAACTGTTTGAGTTTAACCTGTTACATTAAAATACATTTATATGTATATCTGTACATATTTCATATTTAGTGACGTTTCATAGGGAATAAAATACTTGAATGATTGGTGATGCCGGTGAGCGGCAACGTCTCTAATGGAATGCTTCTTTTGACCCATGGAAGGAGCTGTTATTATTAGCAGTTAATTTCATGTGTTAATTAGTTTTATTTTGATTCGTTTAAATCAAGTAGGCAATTTTGTTTTTATATTAATTTTGTATTTAATAACTTGATGTTAAAAGCATGTGCATTGTGATATTATTTTCATAAAATTGCAGGCTAAGTTTAACAGCTTGTCCCTTAGATTTAATAATGGCGATACAAAAAGCCGGATTTCGAATATCGTTGAGGTCTACATTGATGTCAATGGTATTTTTTCACCATTTTTGTTATTTATCTTAGATTTTTTTTTTATTTTATAGTTTTTACCGTTTAATCATTTTTTTGTTAATTATGCATTGTATAGTGTTTCGTTTTATTTACTGTTATGCCAAACTTTTTTCGCCTGCAGGAGAGGTTCCAGGGAGCTTTATTTATATTTGTAAATTATATATATTATTAAAACTCGATCAAGAAGAACGTTCACCTGAAAATGAGTATTAGGACTGGTAATGGAACAGTTGAAAACGATTATCCTATTTATTTTATCCATATTACGTTAATCAATTGCACAGAATGATTGTTTTTACAAAGTGTACCAGTATCTGGATGTTGAAAGGTATCCGATATTTTGCAATGTAATTACTGCTGTCACATAGTCATCTTACTTTTTATGAATGCTTTTTACCATTACTTTCCATTGCTTTATTAAACTGAGCCTGCAACATTTATAATTTTGCTGTTTAGGGTGTTCTTATGGGTTTCAGGTTTTCTCTGTTTTAAGGGAAAGTAACTCATGTTTACTAGGTATTACATACTATTTTTGTTGTATATAAACAGTATTGGTTATTGTGCTTTACAGGCTATAAAATAACTTTCTTATTATATTTTTTGTTGATAGATAGAATAACGAGAAAAGTTACCAGTTGTATAACGTATGTTCATCAGAAGCATAGAGGCCCCTCGGAGTGAATATTGATATATTTTTTTGACTGGCTTTATATACCTTAGACTGGTTTCTTCTAGTTTGTTCAATTAGTACATGTCTACAGGTATTCTACTACAGCAATCTTCTAATCACTATGTGAAACTATGTGAAACAAATTTTTATTTTCTATCTGTTTATATTTTAATTGTTAATAAAATAACCTTTGGTAAAAATGAAAGGTAAAAAATTAAAAATATGCATATAGGTGCTCATGTCCATATATTAAAACAGAGAAAGGATAACATCCCGAAGTTATAAATTTTAAACTCTTAATATATATGCAATTAGTTGTTATATAGTAAAGTCTAACGGAAGGTGAAAAGAGGGACAATATTTGTTACTGTAAGAGATATTCATGCTTAGACACAACTCAATCTTTATTAAAAGATATTGTTACGCTACGGTCCAGCTATATGGTACCAGGCCCCTTTAATCCTCTAAAAATGTGGTAACGTGCTCAAGACTTGGTGACCAATAATCGTACTGGACTGTAGAGAACGATATTGTATTTACGAACAATGAAACGATCACAAATATAACAATGTTCTATATAAAATAGAAATTGTTAGGGTTAGGGGGACTGTTGATACTTGATTCGGATGATTGTCAAAGTCTATATAGATCTATTTAGCTGAAATATGCTATTACGACATCTGTCAATAGTGGGCTACTCTGTATAACTCTGTATGGCTAGGACACTGTACTCCACAGTACCTGATAACACTTCCTTACTTCTGGAGGTACGCCAGTTTAAGATTAAAATTGAGTCACAAAGAAGAAAGACTGTTCACAGTTTACTAATTTTAATTAGTGTTAAACTGTTAATAAATTCAGTTGTCAAATATTCAAATAACAGTATTGTAAATAACATAAACACATGTATATAATTCAGTCCTAAATATCCGAGAGCTATGTCTTACATAGACTTCACATAAATTATTACCGCGACTGCCGTTTAATTTCTATTCAAAAATATGACAACGTAAATATAAAGTTTGGTCGAGTCAGTGACCGTAATAATGTAGAACAAAAATTATAAAGTTCTTATCAATTATTCTTAGACAATAATTGATTAAATGTAAAATAATAATCTAAAGACTACGTTTTATTTTGCCTTAAAAATAAGTAAAATTTGCCGTTCAGAAGAACACGACAATAATGTAGACCAACCGAAAGTTAAATGAAAACTGACTGAAGTTGATCGTTTTCCGGCCTATTTATACCAAATCTGAGAAAACGAACATAAGAAGGTTCGAAAAATGTCAACTGTACGTTTTGGTCGGTTGACAATGTTCGACGTTCGAAAACTGAACATTTGACGTTCGGAAACGATCAATTCCATACACAAAGAACGCTGTCAACCAACCGAACGTCCGAACATCAACAATTCTTAGCTAAAGTTCTATGAAACTTTAAAAGTTTGACATTATTGTTGTGCTTGTGGTATTTTTAGTTTCAACTTTTCGGCATTTTCTAGTTGGGTGGTTCCAATATTCCTACTTGAATAATGTTTAATCACCCTTAGGATATGTTGCCTGCTTTTTAAATTTGTCTTTTGACGTCTTATCTGTGATACGCAGGCTTCATAACCTCTGATCCCCCTTTCAAAATTCCATTTTATTTAGTTCCGCCCATTGTTTTCTCGTTTAGGGCACACGCTTTTTATTAATTGGGGACCATACGCCGCTTTTCATGGAATGGCACGGAAGTGTCATATTGAAGGTTCCATGATAACTGCCGTATGAATACATCTGCGGATGTTTCTAAATTCAAAATTTTACTATTTCACGTTTAAATGTTGAATTCTGCTTAAGCCGGTGCTAGGGGGCGTGGACGGTAACTTGCACTTTCCAGTACCGTCCATGAACAGGCTCAATCAAACCGAGCCTGCAACATTTTCAATTTTGCCGTGTTGGGCTTCATTTAGGGATACTGTATTTATCTCTTTTATGATCACATCCGTGTTATTTGTGCCGTGTGGCGGCTGTAAAAAGTCTCCCCGTACATTTAATCAATGATGTTATATTTTCGATCCTTAAAGATCGTTCAGCACGACATTATTGTTGTGCTTGTGGTATTTTTAGTTTCAACTTTTCGGCATTTTCTAGTTGGGTGGTTCCAATATTCCTACTTGAATAATGTTTAATCACCCTTAGGATATGTTGCCTGCTTTTTAAATTTGTCTTTTGACGTCTTATCTGTGATACGCAGGCTTCATAACCTCTGATCCCCTTTCAAAATTCCATTTTATTTAGTTCCGCCCATTGTTTTCTCGTTTAGGGCACACGCTTTTTATTAATTGGGGACCATACGCCGCTTTTCATGGAATGGCACGGAAGTGTCATATTGAAGGTTCCATGATAACTGCCGTATGAATACATCTGCGGATGTTTCTAAATTCAAAATTTTACTATTTCACGTTTAAATGTTGAATTCTGCTTAAGCCGGTGCTAGGGGGCGTGGACGGTAACTTGCACTTTCCAGTACTGTCCATGAACAGGCTCAATCAAACCGAGCCTGCAACATTTTCAATTTTGCCGTGTTGGGCTTCATTTAGGGATACTGTATTTATCTCTTTTACATGAAAATACGATAAATTGATACATATAATATTTATAAAAATGACTAGTACCATGGATTGACTATAAGTCTGCTGCTTTTGATGAAACATAACTTTGTAACAATTTGTTTACTGAGTTTAGGCAGCAATTGCTATTGACAACGGAAGTCACACAACCCATAATGCATCAGCGAACAACAACAACACCTGTCAACGTTTATCGAGTAAAATTTACGATAAATGCTACTTTCTAGCTAAATGTACGCTGATTATAAGAAAATATGTAAACAATTAATGAAATAAATCATTACTCTTTATAAATCTGACGTAATTTATAGTTGTCAGTCCCCAAAATTAACACAAGAAGCGTTTATCGGTACATGTAAAATGTAAACAATGCCGATAATGACATACGACCTGAGTATATAAGTGAGATTATATCATTACCCCCCTCTTATTAAGGCAAAGCTCCTGCTGCCTTCTTACAATAACAAAAATAATGAAGTTTATGCACCTTTAACATATTCATCACAAAACTCGGGCATTGACCTTTAAGACTAATAATATAGGGAAGCTCCCTTTAAAGTAAAATCACTATTTTAAGTATATGAAACACAGATAATGAAAATTATGCATCTTATGTATAGGCACATTTAAACAGTTTATGCACATTTCACTTTCATTGATTAATAAAAGTCTTAAATAGTCATTCAAATGTCATTCACAGTGTTCATCAATAGTAATAATAATGATTAAGTAATATAAATAGCACCAAGTTCAATGTCAATGTCTAT